AGTCAGATGGGCGCCTCATCTGTCGAGCTTATTGCACGATGTTTCCATGGGCTGGATGAAAGCATCGATGCTCAGAACGGAGTCAGATGGGCGCCGTTTTGCGAAGGGAGAGCGTGTGGAAGTGGGTGGTGGTTCTGGGATGAATTTGAAAAGGGAATTCGAGTACTTATACAAAAGACAGACCTCTCTTCACAGTTTTCAGAATTCAGATGATTTTTCTAGACTGTTAAGTATGTCAAAATCGAATCTGACAGACAGGTTAACTTACCATAATCCACATGCATGTTACATGAACAAAAAGACCATCCAATTGCTAGCATGATTCACAGTTCTAGGCTTTCGTTGGACCATCCGATGGAATAAATATCCCGTTCTTTCGGCTTCCCGGCAATTGATGCTTGGCAGCCTTATGAGATATCACGCTTCTTTGACGTTTGCATAATGGCTTGCTTGATAGCTTGGATTTATCTGCACAATCTGCAGCCGTAATCCTCAGTTCTTTCTGCTGACTATCCGATGGTTTTGAGATATCCCGCTTTGCTGGCTTTCAAACCAATACTTTTTGACCAATCAACTGCAGCTACTATTCATGACTCTTACTAACCATCCGATGGATCTAAGATATCCCGCTTTTCCGGCTTCTCGATAAGTTCTTTCTTTGCAGCTTTGATAAGGTTGCTGCACCCTGCTCTATTGTCCGTCCGTTGAGACCTCTGCGGCACCATTCTGCTCTGCAGGTATGAGTGAAGGAGTTAAACCTTTGGATGGTGAAAGTTTTGTGTATGCACCTATCGTTATTGACATGGCCAGCTAAATGACCCATCGATGCATGTGCAACGGGAGCAGCAGGTATGATATGACATGCTTTTTTTGAATGGGCTATTCAAATTCAAGCCTTTTCTCATCATGGTCATCCAAAAGGATAAGTAATCAAGTTGGCTGACAATGGATGTATGCTACCCTACACACGCACGCACGCCTACGTATACTCCATATTAGCGTGACTTTATGCAAGAAGAAAGTCACTAAAATGACTGAGTTTCATGCTTGACTCTTTCCTTCATCATTGGATTCACGCAGGAGTGCAGAAGTGATGGACATGAGCATGCTAATGGCAATACTTGCGGGCACAACAACTATACAGACTCTCAAATCAGTTCTCGGCGGAACTATTTCACCATACAAAGCTGCAACTCATCATCACCACCACCTGCAAAGCGGGACGTTGCTGCAGAGTTTTCAATGGATAAGAGAGCCGAGTATAGTGAGTACATCGAAGAAATCAGGAGAGAAGTTGCCGAAACGCTAGAAAAGCGGGATTTCTCAGAACCATCGAATGGTTAGTAAGAATTACATTGCAACTGCAGATGATTTGTCAATAAGGTATTTGTTTCAAAACCAGAAAGGCGGGATCTTTCAAATCCATCGGATGGTTAGCAGAATCACAATTGCAGCTGCAGATGGTTGGTCAAAAAGTATTCGTTTGAAATCCAGAACAGCGGAATACCTCAGATCCATCGGACGGTTAGTGAGATTTACGAATAGCAGCTGCAGAAGACTTGTCGAAAAAGTATTTGTTTGAAAGACAGAAAAGCGGGATATCTCAGATCCATCGAATGGTTAGTAAGAGTTACATATCATACTTATTAAGGCTGCCAAGCATCAATTGCCGGGAAGCCGAAAGAGCGGGATATATTGATTCCATCAGATGGTCCAAGGGCAGTCCAGAACTTTAGATCATGCTAGCGATTGGATGGTCTTTTCGGTCATATAATATGCATGTGAATTTTCGTCAGTTGACCTGTCAGAATTCGAATTGACATACGGGAAGATCATACGAATTCCGAAAACTGTGAAAGGAATGAATGAAAGGTATGTAAAGTCCCCTTTTTTGATTGACTCCAACCCCCAACACCCACATTTCATTCCAAACATCACCCACTTGTCATTCAAGTCCCACATCTCATTCCAAACCCACTTCTTATCCCAAGCCCACTTCTCATTCTAAATCCTCTTCTCATTCAAGGACCTCCTTGTCATTTAAGATCCACTTGTCATCCAATCAGCATCACAAATTTCTCACAAAACAATGATGGTGGCACTCAAATGCAAACAAATATGGCATCACTTCACTTCACAAGAAAAGCCTCAGAAGTGCGAACGGCGCCATGCAACCCTAACCAACCAAGGTCTTCTATTGATGCAACGGTGAATCTTTTGGAAATTCAATAAACGCCATCTCATATGTGTCCTCGCTCGACCGGCATCATCCACTTCTCGTTTATGGATTCATTCTCTTCTCATTCGAGATCCACCCATCGTACAATCCGTATCACACACTTCTCTTTTCAAATCGTCACACAACATTGATCGCGGTAATCAACACAAATATGAAAAAGAGCTCACTCACAAGTACAAACGCCTGAATAGGGCCTAAATCAGCCAAGATCTTCTTCTTCCGATCGGATGAAACCTTTCAATATTTATGAAAAGTCATCTCGTACGTCACTCAAGATCGTTCTTATGCTTTCACCTTACCGTCTTTAGCTTTGCATCCGTTCAACATTACTGAAGAAGTCCGTCATCATTAGTTAATTTAAAGTGAGGTCGATCAAGCCGGTCAAAGTTTCTTCATTCACGATGTCTCTGCACTCGCATTCATCGGGCTCTTACAAGCAAGCACTGGCAGTCTTTAGAGAAGAAGAGACTCGTGTAGAAGGAGGAAGGGCACAAGGTAGGGAGGAAGGGAAGATGGTGGGGAGGAAGGGGGGAGGGAGGAAGGGGGGAGGAAGGGGGAGTGGAAGGTGGGGATGAAGGTGGAAGTGTAAGACTTCACGCAAGATTCTATACAAGGTTCGTCAAGAGTCACCGGAGCAGTTTCGCAAAACCTAATGTAAGATTCCACACAAGGTCCGTCAAGAGTCACCGGAGCAGTCTCAATAGAAGGTAGTGGTGCAAGACTCAACACAAGATGCCACACAGAAGTCATCAAGAGACTGCTCCAAATGCCACACAGAGTTCGTCAAGAGTCAGCGGAGCAGTCTCAACAGAAGAAATGGTATACTTGACATCTACATTTGTCTTTCTTCTGCCCTCTTGATACATGCTCCCACTTCACACTTTTTGACTGCTTCGCCCGGTGACATCCATTCAACATTGCCGAAGAAGTTCATCGTCATGTGCTGGATTGAAGTGAGGTCGATCAAGTCGGGCAAAATTTTCTTCATTCTACGATGACTCTACACCCGCATTCACGGTGCTCTTGCAAGCGATCACTGGCAGCCGAAGAAGCATCGGTCTTGAGCGCAGACCTCTTTGGATGACGGATCAAATACACTTCCTCATAGAGTGATAACTCTAGCCATCCTTTCTTTCGGACAAGAATGTTATATAATCAGAACAGGCAAAGCTTGTATGCAGTACATACCTTTGACTTACCCTGGATCGACCCGTTGGCTGCTGGGTTGTATAACTCTTTGTCCATGTGTACAGTCCAGGTGATCAAAGTGACAAGAGCGAAATGGTCACGAGACGTGGAGCTTTCGAACAATATCTGAATGACCATTAATGCATGCTCTTTTCTATACCTCTTTATACGAATAGGCGGACTCTTACATCGCATGAATGTCTCAGATTCAAGATCTCTCATGATAATGTATATCTATTATACTACAAAGTATGACGTTTGGAAAACCTGATATCAGAGAAGAACTCATTCCCATTCCATTCCCTCGAAAGAGCTCTTTGTCATCGCCATTACTTGGGCAACAAAGGCTTCAAGATGAAAGATCGCTTTGTTTCCCTGACGACAGCGAAGTTCGTAAAATGCCGCTTTTTCTACAATCGCTCCACGTAAATCTTCGTCGCATCGTTCCACAAGTCGATCGGTGAGAGTTTTAATAATCACTCTTGGTGGAATAGCACGAAACAATAATTCACACAATTTTCCGCACACAAAGAAGAAATGTTCAGGCGATTGTTCCGAGATGATTGCGTCTGCCGTCTTACCAACAAAAAGCTCCTAATCTAGCTTTACGATCGAAATCGAGCCGCTTAATTCCGAAATTTACATCCTCGGTGCTTCTAAGACAAGGATCGCTTTACGAAGGTTGCCGTTCGTTTCACGATAGATCTATGATGAAATCTTATCCGGTAAGTGGAATTTCTCCTTCCTTACAACATATTTCAACACTACTGTTATCTCTCCTTCATTAGGCGCTCCTACATACATCAAAAGATATCTTTCTATCCTTATTATTAATTATATATTTTTTTTTAATATTATTAATAAATTATTCTTATAGATCTTTAAAAAAACTGTAATAACTTATTTTATATATTTTAATTAATATTTTATAAACTTCGATATCCTATAAACTTAGATTAGAGATAGTCTTATCTTCTTGAATAGTATATCTTTAAAACGATAATATATAAGACAGAATATATAATAAATAAAGATATAATCTATGACTATCTATACTTAGTAAGATAGTCTAAATAAAATCATCTATTATATTAAGAATTTATAAGATTTAGAACTTTTCTATTATATCTTTACTATAAACTTTAAGAAGGATATCTTTACCCTTATCTTACAGTAGCTTATCGAATAAGCTAGAAGAGCTTATAAGTATACCTATACTACTGAATTCTAAGCTACTAACACACTCTGAATTCTTTCACCGAAAAAATATATACAAAGAATAAAAATTTCTTCGACTTAGGATTCGTTGAAATTTTATTATATTCGATTTTCATCTCTATCCTCTATCCTCTATATATCTTAGCCCTTTTTCCTAAAATAATTCGTAGCTCTACCTTATCTACTGCTATCAAGACGATCTTGCTCAGCTGAGGAGTGTATCTACCTTACATAGATTACCCACTGTCATTTCGGTTATTTTTCTGTAGCAGCCATCATTGGCTTGCCTTCTATGCTGCTCATTATATATACTGGAGTACTTCTTCCATTCGTAGAAATCTATGAACAAAAAGTATTCATTGATGGACATTCAACTATCGTTCGAAAGATCCACTTGTCGTAACCTTCTCCCTCTTGCCAACTCGATATCCTGGACTGTACGCATACCAACACCACGATCAACCCTTCTCATCGGACCGCCAATACCATCACCTAAGCCTTGAGGTGCACTTCCCCCCCATAAAAGGGCCAAAGTCGCTTTTGCGACATTGATCGGATTGGTTGATCCTAAAATTGCTGCGCTCATATCGGTAATGCCTGCTGAACGAGCGATTGCATGGATCACAGGAGGAACTCGCAGTCCGAATCCATGCGGTCTGGGTCGTAACGTGACACGGGTAGAGCTCCATTTACCCGTCACTTCAGCAGGAATAGTATGACCATTGAAACGTTCAACGTAATCCATATTCTTGACAGCGGCATGAAATGCCTTTCTTGCTGCATTCCCAACATTGATATCCTTCCCATCCCCGTATCCCACCATTCCACGCCCATTTCCTGCCACAACCAGCGCAGACATGCGGCTAAATCGGCCTTTTCCGGTTTGTTGAGTGACCCTTCGAATTTTGAGCAAATGACGGTGAATGCCATTGACTTCGCCTTTGGACAGTGGAGTTACGGATGATAGATAAGCAGCACTATCAATGTCATCTCCATCTCCATCTCCTCCAGACTGAATGATTGCAGCTGCACTTGGCTTTTTCGCAGCGAAATATTTTGGCGAATTGAAGAAAGTGACGGAAGAAGGAAAAGGTGCTTCAGATGATGGACGAACATCCCATCGCTCATATGCATCTAAAACAGGATGAGGTTCATGTAAAAGGGAAGGAAAGGATTCTATATCGAATTGTAGCGGAGATGGTTTTCGATTGGTTGTGACTGCAGAAGAAGAAGAAGAAGAAGAAGAAGGCTGTTGTGTGTCTGCACTTGATTTGATCGAAGTACCCTGCTCTTGTGATGTTTGATGAAAGGATGAAGATGAGAATGATGCACTTTTTGACCATCTACTTCCAATAGCTTTTGGTGCGATTTGAGTGTTCTTGCATGTTAAGTTTAGCAAACGTGCACCTTCATGTCGCAGCAGCATTTTGTATAGGCAAATTTGTGATGGCGACTAAAGGTTAGAGTGGTTGTACTGTAAGAACTTTTCTCAATCATCTCTTACTCTAAAAAATGCAAGGCGACGAATACACGTGATCGTCTAAAATAAGGCGCACGCGCGGTTAGAATACTGATAAGATTAAGTTTAGCTTACCTCTCACTTAAGTGCGAAGAAAGTATGTACATGCACAATACCCAACAATAGAATAAATGCACGGGGCGCAAAATTGATACATATCTCCCTCCTTCTCTCCCATCATCACGTCGTTGCACTCATCATCAAATTATCCTTAACGTTCTTTAATCAACCTTCACGCTCAATTCTTTACCGAAACATGGTCGGCGTTTTAGTCCTCACCCGTCATGGGCAAAGCGAATGGAACAAACTGAACTTGGTACGTATAGAATCAACTGTTTCATTCTACGCGATGGAAAGCTAACGAAACCTTTCTACCTCTACATCCAGTTCACCGGTTGGAAAGACCCAAAATTGACCGAGCTAGGAGAAGCAGAAGCCAAAAAAGGAGGAGAAGAATTGAAAAAGTATGGATACACCGACTTTGATATGGCATTCACTTCCGATTTAACCCGTGCGCAAAGCACTTTGGCGATCATTTTGAAGGAGATCGGACAAGAAGGCATCTCCACAAAGAAAGATCAAGCCTTAAATGAGCGTGATTATGGTGAATTGACCGGTCTTAACAAGGATGATGCTCGTAAAAAGTGGGGTGAAGATCAAGTGAGTAATCGCTCGTTAGCATTTTCAACTGCAAAAAGAAACAGTCTCTGATATCTTCTTCTTTTTTGTCCATTCTTCCAGGTACACATCTGGCGTCGTTCCTACGATGTTCCTCCACCAGGAGGCGAATCGTTGGAATTGACAGCCAAACGTGTTTTGCCATATTATGAAAAGGAGATCAAACCCGCCGTTTTGGCCGGCAAAAAAGTTCTCGTTGCCGCACATGGAAACAGTTTGCGCGCCATGATCATGAGCTTGGAAGGAATGACCGGCGAACAAATCGTCAATACAGAATTAGCAACGGGTGTTCCAATCGTTTACAAGATTGATGAGAGCGGCAAAGTGCTCGAAAAGAAGACGTTGGAATAAAATTTTGCATGATCTTGCTTTGTAGAGAGGTTCCGCTCTCGTCTTGTGATCTGAATAGATGTGATTAAATGATTATGCCTTGTGATTAGTGGCCTGTCGATCAATAGGACAATCAAATCATTCTCAACCTTCTTGCCACGGATAGACCAAAGTGAAATTTGCAGAACAAACGCGTATGAGTATATATACGCATAGGTAAAAGAAAAAGGCGGCGCCCCATTCTCTCTTTAGAGTCTGAAGAGGTTTTGCATTCCTTCTTCCTGCTGAACCCAACACTGTAACTTCCCTCAATCCTATCATATCGCCATGTCGAGCTTTCCAAAGCTATCGGTTGATGAAAGATTCAATCTCATCACTAGGGATCTGGCAGAGGTGCTGGGAGGCGATTCATTAAAAGCCATTTTGGAAAAAGATGAAAGGCCAATAAAGATGTATTGGGGTACAGCACCTACTGGAAGACCACACATTGCTTATCTGGTCGCATTGACAAAAATTGCCGACTTTTTACGAGCAGGCGTAGAAGTGAAGATGTTATTCGCCGATATTCATGCATTCTTGGATAACCTTAAAGCGCCAATCGAATTGGTTCGTCATCGAGTGGAATACTATCGACATGTTCTCGTCGCTGCTTTGCATTCGATTGGTGTTCCAACCGAAAGGTTGATCTTTGTCGTAGGTTCTTCTTATCAACTTAGCGAAGCTTATGCTATGGACAATTTCAGATTATGCGCTTCAATCACTGAAAATGACGCAAAGCGTGCAGGAGCAGAAGTGGTGAAGCAAGTCGCAAGTCCTCTTTTAAGTGGATTGATGTACCCCGGTATGCAAGCTTTAGACGAACAATATTTGGATGTAGACGTTCAATTTGGAGGTGTTGATCAACGAAAAATCTTCATTTTTGCCGAAACGCATTTGCCTAAACTTGGCTATGCTAAACGTGCACACTTGATGAACGCAATGGTTCCAGGCTTGAAAGGTGCAAAGATGTCTGCCAGTGATGCCTCCAGTAAAATTGACTTTCTCGATTCTCCTTCTGAAGTGAAGAAAAAGTTAAAGGATGCTGCATGCATCGAAGGGGTTGTAGAGGAGAATGGTGTTTTAGCATTCATCAGAGCTGTTCTCATGCCAATCGCAAGGCTGCGCAAGGAACAACAGGCAAGTGGTATAGACGTTTTCTCTCAACATGGCATTTCCAAATCATTCGTTGCACAAGGAGCTCCTGAAAGTACAATGTTCAGCATCCAGAGACCGGAAAAGTACGGAGGAAATTTGCATTACGACAGTTACGAATCGATCGAGAAGGACTTTGCCGAAAAGAAGTTACACCCTCTTGATTTGAAGAACGGAGTAGCAGATGCAATCAATGCTCTATTAGAACCAATTCAAGCCGCTTGGAAATCTGACCCTGCTTTCAACAAAGCTGAACAAGATGCATACCCACCCCCTCCGGGAAAGGTTGTTAAAGCAAAGAAAGAGAAGAAGGCAAATAATCAAAAAGCACCCGCAGAAGGACTAGCAGGAGCTGAGGCAAAAAAGGCTCAATCATCAGAGGCCAATGCTACATTTGTCGAAGCAGCAGAGAAGGGGATCGAAAAACTTGACATAGCATCTACCCAATAAATTTGTATCGTACTCACACAAAACCGCAATCAATATCTTTCACACACTCTTCCCACTACTGTGTGCCTGGAAATCAGTCCCGGTCATGCACATCAGCACTCCGAAGCCTGCCAAATGAGATGTAGAACTCATCCTTTCAAGCACACGAAAGAAATGCACATCGGCCGGAAAATGGAGAGAGATCATTAATCATATAAGCGTTCAACAAGTCTCGAAAGGTGAAGATTAATCAAGAAAGAATGAAAGGTGCTTAATTCTTCGTCTTGACCACGATAGGAACTGTGAAGAGAGAGTAGGGCGTTTTGTTAATAAAATACGTCTAGACCACTTGTCGGCAGATTGGAATCCGATCCATAAATGATGCTTTTCCACACTTACCAATGATGATCAATAGCAAAATAACAACACCAACGATAATCAAAATGCGCATCTTCATGTCCTTCCACCACATCTGCTTACGAACTCTGTTTGCACCTCGGCGGAAACCTTGAGCGGAAACGGCCAAATTATCTGTTTCAGGCGAGAAGAAAGGATTAGAAGGTTTGGTGAAATAAGAAAACGATGATCCTTGATCTTATCTGTTTAGTCGCTGTATCCTAGACTTACCTGTCTTTCCTTGTAGATCATTGAGGTTTTCACCGCGTTCGTTCACTTTCTGGATGTTATCGCGCATGACACCAACAGTTTCTGAGGAAGAGAGAGTAAGGATTTAAAGAATACGTTAGTATTGTTCATCGGTACCTTTACGTTTTCGTCATGCTTCTCTTTTCGTCTGGCTTTGACAGCTTTTGAGCAAAATTTCCATCACTTACCATCAATTTGCGATTGAATTGCAGCAGCACGATTTGTTCCAGCATTTTGGCCAGAGCTATTACCGCCAACGTAAGGGTCGTAAGGTTGATCGCGTTCCATTTTGAATGCTGTTGATTGTTTTGTGATATAAAGTCTTTTGAGCTTTCAATCTCTTTAGGTGTGATGGTGATCAGGAGCCAAATCGAGCAAGGATGACTTTTTTTTAAACATCTAATTCAACCACAAAAAGTACGGGCTGCTGTGCCCCGAATAGGTTACATAGGTTGAAAATTGCTGTGTAAATGTGCAGTGCACATATCATGCATCATCATAACTCTTTTCCCCTCTTCTCTGCCGCCTAAGCCCTTTGCTGGAATAGGGCTTTACACCAGTCTCTTTCTTCCCACGCACAATTAAGGCTTTTTTGTACACTATAAGTGCAGCACAGCACACACACACACACACACACGCGCTGCGCACGCACTGCAATCTCTTGATTAAAATTCATTGAACGCGTTGTCAACTTCTTCTAATCTCATTGCCATCCACTTTGACATCTTGATTGGCGGTCATCAGGACAATATAGTCATCATGTCTTCTCGACAAAGGGTAATGATTCAACCCATCAATGTCATATTTAAGTATATGCAACAACAATCAAAAGTTTCCCTTTGGCTATACGATATCACCGATTATCGTTTGGAAGGCAAGATTTTGGTAAGTTGAAGGATGCTTGATCTCAAAGGACGACTCAGCTTACATAACTATGAACCCATCTTTTGTTCAGGGCTTTGACGAATTCATGAATGTTGTCATGGGAGAAGCAGAAGAAGTTTGGATCAAGAAAACTGATGGAAAACGGAGGGAATTGGGTGAGTAAATTCGATGTTGCTGTAATCGTGCGGTGGAAGGGGGCTGACTGATACCTTTCCCATACTCTTCATGATTCTTTCAGGCCGCATCTTACTCAAAGGAGACAATATCGTACGTTCATCACAAAATTCTAACATGATGACCTTGAACTCAACTCTTTTCCCTCCCTTTTTCTCTTGCAGACACTAATACAACCGGTTTTGTCGTAAAATTGTATTGCTAAAAGAATGTTCAACTATTTGTACTTGTAACCCCAAATACACAAATTGGCTAGATGTATCGATTTGACGGATGACGATCAGGCACGTGATGATGATGATGATAGAATAGAGTACTTGGCATCCTGCTTATTCAGCCATACATTAATATTCATCAGAGGGTCCATCGTGGAGCAACCCTTCTTGCATGACTAAGAGCACTTCTACGTAAAAGCCAAGTGAATCAGGAAGGGAAGTCAGAAGAAGAATAGACAAATTGAGCACTTTTCTCCACCTTGTCTATTTATTCTTAGACAGATAAAAGACAGATATAAGGTCATACAATCTCTTACGTTCACATACATCACCCATAATTGATAGTAAGAATGTCTGGTCCACCAGCTCAAGGTTATAAGATTAGCGGAGACGGATACGCCGGAGGCGGTCCTGACGGCAGTAAAGGTCAAAATACAAGCATTGGCTATCCAGGTGGAAGTGGTGAACAAGCAAACGGTCCAGCACAAGAAATTGCAGGAACTTTGCCAAATAACTTTAGCCTTGGTCAAACAAAGGCCGAATCAAAGGGAGAAGAAAATACGATCCCCAATCCAGAGGGTAATAATGAAGGATTGAGTACTCTCGGACGAGGAGGTGATCAAATTCGTCAACCTATTCATTCTCACGATATCGATATTCCCGCACCTTCTAGCGCGGGAGCACCTCAAACAAATGACGGTACTCGTGCACCTAATGCTCAGAAGTAAGCAATTTGAATGTCTTTATAGCTTTTGGCAAGACTTGTACCAACCTGAATAGCATCAGAAGAATTTGTCCCGTAGAAGATATATTTTGATGTAATGCGATAAAAATACAATTGTACACACTCTGCTTGAAAGACGAGGGAATGTTATCCTTCTCGAAGAATCTTACGTAAGGACTGTCTCTCGGGTTTGGATACCTGTGAAGATCATAAAGTGAATAGTTAGGTCAGCATCGTTTCGTATTCCATCTATTTTCTCTTTTTCACTTACCCTCCAAAACATCGTTTTCTTTTTATCTGCCACTTCGATCCGTAAATTGTCGGGAAGTGTTGTGGAAGCTTTCGCTTTTTGAGCTAATATATGTTTTGCCGTTTCGTTAAACGTTTCCCTTGTCGTCTTTTTCGCTTCAACTGGTTTAGACGCTCGCGGTGATAATCTTAGAGTTTGCTCGGATATCTTTGGACCGCTTAAAGGCGTTAAACGAAGAAGGTTGCGGGATGATGGACGCATGTTTTGTGCTTTATGGGTGAGGACGATGGTACGTTGATGGCGGTTAGATCAGGAAAAGGATGGGCTTGTGTGTGTGTGTGAATAATTCTGTATTTTTCTTGCGATATGACACGTGCAATAAGATGCTCTTTCTGATTCCGACAACGCCCACCAGCGAAAAGCTTAGGCCAAAAGCGCGCCGGCGCAAACCCAAGGTGAAGTGTAAAGCGTATGTGCGTGCGTGCGCAAGAAATTCCCAAAGAGGTGGGCATAAGTGAGAGAAGTTCATCATCATCTTTGTTGTCACTATCACCTCTAACAATCGTTCAAACAACTGTTCAATATGGTCTTTTCGGTCATTGCTCTGAACGCTGCTCGAGGCGTTGCACCTAAACAAGCTTTACGTAGCTTTTCAACTTCTGTCGCTGTAAAGAAGGATATCGTTCAAGATGCTTACCTGCGCGAATTGAAGGCATACAAGGCTCCAGCAAAGGTAGGTTATCCGTTTATGTTAAGGAGTAGAATACCTTTTCAATCTCATGACTAACTTTTCCCCCTCTTCTTACCCTCAAATTAAGGCTGCTGATGCTCACAAAGGTCAAGTTCGGGAATATCAAGCTCCAAAAGCACCACAAGCACCCAGCGCACCATCTTCATCGGAATTAGGTAGCGAACTAGAATCATTCGCAAGCAGTGAACCTGATCATGCAGAACATGTTGCAAGCACAGAAAGCGTTGTGCCTGAACAACGTCAAGACGTTCGCGCATTCTTGGAAGAGGCTAAAAAGCCAATCGTCGATGAACATCATTAGAAGTAAGGAATTGATATAAACGTGTCTTCACAGCATGATAATCAAATATGCATCTCTCAGCCATCATTCAGTATAAAGGGGCAGGCATGAGAAGCAATCAGATGGGATTCGATGACCTTTTCGAATTGCAAAGTTGGCTAGAATGAAAGACCCCCCGGATTGAAATGGAGATCCGTAAGATGAAAAAGAGTATGCATTCATATGATAGTATACAAGTAAGTCGTGGTAAAAATGTTTAATGATTCGCAGATACTGCATCTGTTACCTGCTCAGTGATCTTTTGGAATATTGGAAACGTATCAGAATCTTTATAACGTTCTAAGATTGTACGACTTAGTGAGGTACCAATAGGAGTCGTACTATCTTGAACGTTGACTCTTGACTGCATTATGCGAAGATCTCCCTCCAGATTATTGATAACTTCTCCATCCTTTCTTGCTACTTCTTCTTTGGCATCATCCAATACACGAACGAGTTTTGGATCGATCGGTATCCTACCCAAGAATCGAATACCTTCCCTGTTTGCCAATGCTTCACCACCACCTTTTCCCCAAACATTTGTACATTCTGCGCAATGTGGACAGATGTATCCACTCATATTCTCAATCAAACCAATGAGAGGTAAGCCAGTCTTTTTGCAAAAGTCTAAACTACGTAAATTGTCTGCCAAAGAGATTGCTTGAGGCGTTGTGACCAAGACTGCTTTCGGATTGAAAGGATGCAGATATTCCATGATAGAGATGTGTTCATCAGATGTACCTGGAGGTGTATCGATGATAAGGTAATCCAAAGATCCCCATCGAACGTCACCTAAGAATTGTCGAATCATCGCATTCTTTTTCGGTCCTCTCCAAACTACTGAATCATTTTTACTCTTTAATAAGAATCCAACGCTCATCACTGCCAAAGATTGTGAAGCATCAGCATAAACGGGTACCCATCCATCTTGTGATTGTCGGATAGACTGGCCATCTAGGCCGAGCATACGAGGAATACTTGGACCTGTAAGATCAACATCCAAAAGGGCAACCCTAGATGGAACAGGTCGAGAAGGTGAAGGGCTCGATAGAGATAGTGCTAATTGAGCAGAAACAGATGATTTACCTGTAAGAAAGGCAAGATAGTCAGCATTCTTCTTTAAAGCATGAGAAAGGTTTGTCATACCTACCTACGCCACCTTTCCCGGATAAAACAAGAATTATATTCTTCACATCTGCTAATCTACGTTGAAGTTTAGGATCTGCATTCGCTGTTGCCGATGAGGCGGAAGCATTCGATGGTCCACTTTCGGTGGTAGTCATGCTTTATTGATATGATGTATACTATCGAAAGAGGTAAGAAGCTTTTGTTGTTGTAGTGGAGTCATCTTTTAAAAGGCAACAATTCTTGCAGTTGAGTTCATGACGCGCTTATTCTGCTTACGGCCGAACACATCCAACGACTTTTGCATTGTTATGACGACCGTCATGATTGCATTCAGTACAATTGTTTGCAAAGGAAGGAAATAAATTACAGATAATATTCATCTTCATGGTATATCAGCCTAAAACTCTACGTAATTCGGCAGTTGAAGCGACATATTGTAAGGTGACGGGACATCTTGTATGTTGTTCAACGTATGAATATGAGCATGTATAACAACATACGTAACCCGTTGGAAATGCGGTAGGATTATTGATCGGAGCTGTTCCGCAAATTGGACATCCGTTATGTAAAAGTCCTTTTTTAATAATTGGTTCAGATTCGTCTTTATCGAAAGATCCTAAGCCAAGCCTCGTTTTGGATATTGCAATCTCTTTGAAACCATCAGCCTTGTCGTAAATTACGCCTTTGCTATGAGGTAGAATGATCTTAGGGGCAGCCAAATTGAACTCGTCGCCTTCTTCCCGCTCGCCACCAGAGACTGCATTTCCAGAAGCAGAAGAATTTCCACCTCTACGTTGACGTCTTCTTGCATTTTCCGGTGAATACCACCATTCTAAAAATTTGAAGAAAAAGATAGAAGCCGGAAGAGCATATTTGAGTGCTTCAAAGAAGATGAAAGGCGAAGAGCGAATCATTCCGAAAGTGAAACCAAGAGGATCAGAAAAAGGTGATGGGAGATTAGGTGGCAGAAGTGGTGCAGAAGGCGGATAATCATCACTTCCAACCCTTCGTACGTCCATTCGCATCCATCGGAACCAAGGTCGCCAAAAGGGAGTCTTGTCGAACAAATAACGAACGTTGTATGCCAAAAGCCATAATTGCCAAAGGGCTCCCACATATGGATATCCTTTGCGGAAGCAGATTTTTAACCAACTTTGTAGGAATTTTATCCGAGAAGAAAGACCACCCTCATGATCAATATCAGTAAATCTTCTTCGGATTGGTGATTGTTGTGAACGTTGTTCTTCATCTTCATCACCAAACAGATCACCACCACCCTCTACTACATCGTCTACTCCTCCTCCTTCTCTTTCCCATAGATCATGCAATTTAGACTGCAAATACGGTAGGCCAACCAAAGTGAACAATGAGACATATCGATCGATAGGTCGTAGTGCTTCGATGGTTTTTTGCGTTGATCGTGCAGAGGATGCAGTTTTCGCTCTTGGAGTTGCAATTCCCGGTCTCCTTCTTCTTCGTAATCCGTAAAAGTTTTCAGCGAATGAAGATCCCCACGTTTTCAAATAATGTCGTTCTACTGCCCACATTAATAGCGCATACACTTCATCAAATCGATTCACGATTCGTAAGAGATATCTTGGATTCCTTTGTGCTAAAACAGAGAGTGTATATCGTAATGCAGGCTTCAATAAATCGCTCAATTGTTCTTGTGCTGCCAATTCGAAAAAGGATGGTCTGAATGGATCAGTGGATGCCAAACCAGAGTTTGTCGGATCGACTGATTGCAAAAGATCCATGATGACGATGAGAAAAGGAGAAAGCAAGACGGTAGTAGAGTATATGCAATAAACTTCTCCGCATTCTCAACCTAATCAATACGAATCGGGGTTCGGCAATCAAGCTTAGGCGAATCGAATGGCGGGTGCACGTGAAATTTAAAAATAGTTCTGGCTGCGTGCGCTTATTTGCAAAATAAATAATCATGATGGAAAGCAACCTTTCTTCCTTCTCTTCTTTGAACAATTTTACGAAGGTGAGTATCTTATCAAGCTTAAAAGCCAACTTGTGATACCAAATTTATACGAGTCATGAATAGTATCTTACTCAGACGGCTTCTTTCCTATTCATATAGACACAAAAGTTAGGGCCTGGATTTTGCTTTTCCGTTTCAGGTCCTCGTTCCCGTCTTCAAGAGAGAAACAACGTTTTATCTTGCAAGAATGCAATAAAACGCTCTAGGTTGAGCATTACTCGATCTGGTGGTGTTTTGCAGCCCTGAGCTTCTCACTTTTTCGTCTATTTGATCGCGATTCAAATCACCCTCCATTCTAGGAAGATGAGCTTGAGCAATCAAGATCTCTCATGATAATAGATGGTCGGGAGCGATTGAATAGGCATGAAGCAGGGTTCAACACCGACATTTACACCTTCTTCTACTTCCCGGGTATCTATTGTAAGGAAAGAGTAAAGTGAGTATCATACAAATGGAATACCTATAATGTTGTCCTTTCGATCAACTTTCAGTCCATATGAAAAATTGATAGGCAATATTCTCATCCTGATGACAAACACGTGTCGCCCCAAACTGGACTCATTTTGATGATCGACCAATATCTATAGCCAAACACAATGATACCACTGATATGCTTTAAGTCATTTCATAGTTGAACAACGAAAGCTGACAGTCTTCTCTCTTTTACTCTTGTCATGATCAGTATCTCTCTTGTGCTAGAAAAACAGGATTCTGTAAAGGTGAGTGATCTATGAATTTCATTTACGTATCGCTCGAAAGTCACTTGTATAAATGTATTTGTTAATGTGTGTATTGATATATTTATGATACAAGATAGGTGAGAGGTCAGCTAGTGTACATTATACGATCCTTTTTCATATGCGTTCGGTTTGAACGTCCTATGCGTTGATTCGTGATCTTCATCTTGCGAAGCTGTATCTTTCGGCGATTCAGTGATTGTCACTGTCCGTGCGGATCGACTATTGGTTGTCTTTTTCGTTTTTCCCTTGCCTCGTTTGTGATGATTTCCATTGCAGCCGTCATCATCGCAAAGGGCCTGATCTGCCTTTTCTTTGCCTTTCTTCTCTCTCAAACTTTTCGATGCATTCACTTCACTACTGTTGGAAGAACTGCTTTCGCTTCCTTCTTCATCTGAACTTTGCGAATCGGAATCGGAACCTGATGATTCATCGGAAGATTCGTCAAACGCTTTCGGTTTGTGATAAATACAGCAAATTTTGCTCTTCTTCTTTCCCATACCTTCATTGTCTATCGTTTCTTCGCTCCAAACCACCCTCCTTGACGTATTACCCGTTGCTCGAAGCTGCAAAACTCCTACAGGTGTTGCATCTGGAACAGAGGGAGTTGCGCTATTTTCTGAACCGGTCTCCTGAAGTGTGATTGTTCGAGATCCACTTTCTTGTGGTTCAGGGCGTTGCCTGGTTCGATTCATCGTTACAGCTGTGTATGATAGATTGTGGTGTTTGGTTAGAGTGGCAACATGTCAAAGTGACCAAAGATGGTATTGTGTTGAGAGAGTGCTGTGCATATACTAATCCGTCACTGAGTGTAAGTGGAAGGCGTGTACTGCGTACAGCGTACAGGCTTTACCTCTTAAGATTATATAATATTCTTTGGGCGCCGTTACTAGCTCACTCGAAATTTTCACGCCTTCTTCTTCTTATTGTCATCGTCCTTGTAACATGATGGTTCGCCCACCTCAAACTCATCTCATACGACAGCTTTCACGTTTGGCCATAGGAAGCTGTCAAAGTGGGATATCTTCTTCGTCTTCTCAGCGTGCTTTTGCACAGATCAGAACTTTGTCCAGTACTGCAAAAAAATCGGCTGAATCTATTGAATCTTTCGCTTCCTTCAGCATTGGCTCTTTACAACCCCTTTTACCAAAAAAGCAAAGAAAGCGTCTTGGCCGTGGACAAGGAAGCGGTCGTGGTGGAACTTCAACAAAAGGTCACAAAGGTCAAAAAGCAAGAGCAGGTAATGGTAAGCCTACACCTGGATTCGAAGGTGGTCAAACACCCATTATGCGAAGGTTTCCCAAACGTGGATTTACCAATTCGTTCGCAAAAGAGTATGTTCCTTTGAGCGTTGGTCGTATTCAAGACTGGATCGATCAAGGTCGTTTAGACCCAAGCCAACCAATCACCGCACGCGAGCTTCTAGAAAGCTCATGCGTTCATTCATGCAAGGATGGTATAAAATTATTGGCAGGTATGACGAATAAGGTGCGCACACCTATCCATTTGATCGTTTCTCGTTCTTCATCAACAGCCATAAATATTGTCGAAGCTGCTGGTGGCTCAATCGTGTGCAAATATTATACGCCCACTACATTGCAAGCTTTGATCAAGCCACATAAATATCTCGACCGCTTGCCACCTCGCGATGCTGTGCCGATCAACAAGAGAGAATTGCTATATTACGCAAGCAAGGCAAGGAGAGGTTACCTTGCAGATCGTGTTCCTGATGTCAGGATGCCAAAAGTGACCGGCAAGCCAAAGGATAAAGCTCTCGAAGCTGCTTCTAATGACTCTCAATCGGTCGTTGAGGCAAATGCTATCTAACTGTGTACTCATAATTAATAGATTGAATTATTACGTATTTCAGAGTCTGTGCTCTCCTCTTCCTCTATCGCATGAAGGATACGTGAGAATTCGAGATAGATTTATTTCGATTGCTATAATGTACAATGTGCTGCTGCGAGTTAAAAGTTGAATCAATAACTATCCCCTTCTTGACCTTCTGCTGAGAAGCCATACACTTTGCGAAGGACGTCGGCTTTTCGCTTTTCATATTGCGATCTAGAAACTTGCTCTGATGGCGTTTTTGAGATTGCTGTCGGTATTTCATCTTCTTTATCCAAATCCTAAACAGTTGAAGAAGAAAATGTTAGTATACGATTGCAAAAGTGAACTTTATATCCCCACAAAAAACGTACAATTTCACCCATCATGACCACATTCTCTCCTCGAACAAGATCGAAGCATTTTTGCTGTGGATTTTCGATTAAAAGATTGGCAAATTGATCGTAAGATCGTAAAACGCCAACATGTTCCTTTCCATCACGCAAGATGATGATCACTTTTTTGTCGACACAATCGACTAGCGAGCCAGACGTGGTAAAAGGAACATGTGATAAGATTGTATCTGCATCCATATCGAATGATTGTGCTAATGAGAACGGTGGTAGAAGATAAAGTGTTGCATGTTTCTGACCACCATTAACCCTTCTTGATCGATTCGCAAGTCTGCTTCTCCACGCTTAAGCATACATTCTAGAGTCTACACGCGCTCAATATTCATAATTCAGGCAAAAAGTGTGCACGTGCATTCATTTCACAAATGCTAATAATCGTCAGAGTGTGTGTCTGTTTGTGGATGCTATTCGAGATTCTTTCGATCTTTCTACTCTTTGACGATCGATATGATCGACAATGATCGTTGGAGAGCTACTCTCTAGCAAAATCGAACCTTTTGAACCTTGACATGAAGTGCGGGAGGCACAATTTTGACCTAAGTAGAATATGCTAAGGAAAAGCGCGACGCGTGCAGAGAAAGATGATGATTGCTACTTCTCATCAATTCGCATATTAAACACCATCTGGAACAAAGAAGGTACAAGATGCTATTCGGCGTGAACGAAAAGATTCTTTGCTTTCATGTTGGATTATTGTACGAGGCAAAAGTTCTTAAAGCGGAAAATTGGACAGGAGATGATAATGTAACCAAAGCTGTTGGTCCGCATTATTTCGTACATTATATGGGATGGAGAGCAAGATGGGATGAATGGGTACCGGAATCGAGAATGCTAAAGTTGAACGAAGACAATATTCAAAAGCAAAAAGCACTCGCAGAATCCGTCAAAGCAGCTCGAGAAGCAAAATTGTACGAAGGATCAGGTAGCAGTAGTAAACCTTCAGCACGCAAAAGCGGCAATTCAGTAACAGCTGGCATAAACGGAAATACTGCAAGTCATGGAAGAGAATCTAGTGAAACGCATGATTTAGCTGATCGTAGAAAGACAAAGGAGAGTAGAGGTACAAAACGTGGTCGTGATGCGGTGGAGCAGGTAGGTATACGTAATCTATATTCTGCTTGTCTCATTTGGTAAAAAGCTGACAAGAAGGACTTTTATTTCTCATCTGTCTATCACTCAGGAAGAAGAATATATAAAGAGACCTGAAATCAAATTGACGATCCCAGACACGCTCAAAGTACGTTTGGTAGACGATTGGGAATTCGTTACAAAGCGAAATTTGTTAGTTCCTCTGCCTAGAGAGCCAAATGTTGAGGATATTCTATCGTCATACCGTGCACATTATCTATCGAGCAAGAAAGATCACAAGGCTTCCCGTCCGCCTGCCGTTTTGGATGAAGTTTTGGAAGGACTTAAAGCATACTTTAACAAAGCACTAGGAAACAATCTTCTTTATCGTTTTGAGCGAGCACAATACGTTCAGCAAAGGAAAGATTGGAACGTTGCTCAAGAGGCGATGGAACCTAGCAAAGTGTACGGGGCAGAGCATCTATTGAGACTTTTTGGTATGTTACGCCTTCCGGCGAAGCCGATCACATGCTAACCCTATTTCTCTCCTTCCTTATGACAGTCAACCTCCCTAGTATCATCGCTCACACAACCATGGACGCCGAATCTATTCTCCTCCTCAAGGAACACTTGGCAGAGTTCCTATCTTATATGGTGAAAGAGCAAAAAAACTTCTTTGTGAAAGATTACGAAGCACCGAGTTTGTCTTATCATCGATTGACATATACCTAATGTTCCTTCTAATTCACGCATGATGATATGAAGTTGTTCATGTATTTTTAGCTACACGAAATTCAAACGATTTGAGTGGCGTCCACGCCATATGCACGACGAACTTGTAAGATAGCGATCAATTCCTTCATTGTCTCCTCTAAGATAATGGCATTGTCCAAAATTGTACTCAAGCTTACTTTTGCGGAACCTTGCTCCTTCACACGATCTTCATCATCCTTTCCTTTTTTCTCTGATCCTGGATAGGTAAACGTTACCTCGTTCTCAGTGTCGCTTAATGCAGCATTCTGAAATCGTGTACGTTTGATTTTCTTCCCTGTATTTTTCTCCTGACTATCCTCTTGCTTTTCAGGATCAAAATGAATTGACCATGGACTTGAATCGACAAGGTATACCGAATCATTAACGTCTATTATCAAGCTTGCCGTTTGCAGAAAGTGTTGAGCAAAAGGCTTTGGCGGCGGTTGATGCGCTTGGTGGGTACTTCCTTGACTTATAGCATCCTTTTGACCTTTATCAGCAGTACTAAGCGCATTGGCCGCACGACCGAAAAATCGTGCGAAATTCCCACGTTCAACTGTTGCTTTCTTATCTTTGTCTGAAGCATCTGGTAGGTGGAAAGCTTCTTGTGTCGGTGTGGCCGATGGTGGTGGCGGCAAAGATATAATATCTTCCCCCTTCTTGAGAGCTTTGACAGGCTGAACGTGTCCTTTCTGGTTTTCGTCCTTTCTTTTCGATGAAACTTGTTTCGAATACATATCGAAAGGTGACGGTTCTCTTTCTGCTTCGGTATTCCCGTTGGGTTGCCCTTTAAATTGATCCGAAGGATCGATCCCGCTCAACATCAAGGCTTCGTTCAAGTTCTCCACGAAAAGAAGTCCTCTTCTACGTTCGTCCAAATATTTGTCGAAATGAGCAATCGTTTTTCTCCACCTTTGTAGCTGGTCTACCAGCGCACTGAGTATGTTCAATAGAACAGGTACCTTGCTAAGATCATGGTGGGAAAGGGAGACCTTCTCATGCTTGTCTTGACCGGACAACAAAGAAGATTGCATCATGAACGTACATTCGTCTTCTGAAAGATCATCAACGTCTTCTTCTTCGCCCTTCTCATTCTGATCCGGAGTGTTTATTGAAAGTAGCATTTCAATACTTTGTCTTCCATGACATAAAAATCCTTCGAGACTGCGGATCGGACAGGAGCAGATGGCAGATAGTAATCCGGTCGCGGCAACATTTACCTCTGGTCTATTTCGCCAATAATTGCAAAGGCTCAGAAGGAGCGTTCGTAACAATCGATCTGTAGCCTGAAGTTTATGTCTGCGGTAAGAAGACAGAAGGCTGGAACGATCTTGAGTCGAATCGCCAGCCTCAATGATGCTTCCATCTTCCCATGATCGTAAAGCAGAGCGACCCATGCTATCTCGCATAAGCCCCGTCGCAGCATCTTCCAAATAATTATCGAATCCTGTACTGCTGTACGTTTGATCAATCTGGGAATCGAATGAATCTCTCACACTTTTGGAGTCACCGACCTGTAATCTGTTCATTAGCGAAAGGAGAGTAATGATCTCGCGACTGTACTTTTGCATCTTGTAACCGCCCACCGTCTGTTTTGCCAAAGCGTGCAGTCGATTCAAGAACTTCTCCTCGTCCTTTTCAGTTCCAGGATACACAAATTCATCCGAGGTATCAGAATCGAACGATTGAAATTCTTTGGAATCATTATTACTGTCGTCTCCTTCTTTCATGATCTCAATCAAATTGGTAGGAAAAGCAGTGGCAAGTGGATCATCTTTGATCTGAATCACAGTAGATAGACTTGACCTCCCATGAAAGGTGATGAGAGTGGTGGCCAGGCGTAGTGCTGATAGTACAGCTGACTGTTGTGAAGACAGTTGGAGATTGTCGACAAGCAAATCGCGGATGGTGTATCTTCCAAAGGCGTCGGTTTGATATGATGAATTTTGTCGAAATTTCATGCTGGATTCTTCTTTCTCCAATTGTATCATCGCTGTACTCTTCCGCTTTGCCCTCATACCGAAGTGATGAGCATCATTTCTCGAATCTAGATCGCTTGCTTCCGAACCTGTAAGCCAACCCACTACGCAATCGGAAAGTGCATTTTCTGTCTCCAAAACACTCAATATTGCTTCCAAATAGGTCATAACTGCAATTGAGCTGCCGTCTACATCGCTACACTCCAACATGGAAGGGTATAAAATATTTTCCAAAAAGAGCGATTGCAGTGATACGGAGATACTTTGAGTCAATTGATCTGCCAGTAACGACAACTCGACCGAGCCCGTTGGCCGTGGCTTGGCAGGATCGGCGTTTACAGTGTTTTTATTCAATGAAAAGTCTATCGAAACTTTCACGGCAGTGCGTAGAATGTCTTGAGTAAATTCCAAAAGGTCACAAAGTATCCTTGCCTGTTGACGTACCTCTTCACTGTTGGTAGTGAAGGCGCTTTGGAAGCTTATTGTGTTTTGCTCCATATGTACTTTTTCTCCTTCGCCCAAAACCATTGATTCACCTTGACCGACCAGTAGCGCATGTCGTCTCTCATGCGAATCACTGTCATCATCCGCATCGGAGAATTTGGACAAAGAAAGCTTAGTAGGTAATAATCCATACACCGCACCTATACCAGCACCCAACACTTCTGAAAAATCTGATTCGACCATAAAGCGAGCCAAGGCGATATTTGGACCTAAGCCAAGATCAGCCTCGATTCTATGCTTTTGTGGCGTACTCGTTCCGCTTCTTCTAGGACCAGGACGAGCAGATTTGGTATAAGGAGAACCAAAAGATCGTCCAATGCTTGCATTCTTGCCTGCTTTTGTATTGGCAGAACGTGCAAGATTTCTTCTTCCCGGTGCAAATGCAACGTCTACCAAAAAAAGGATACCAGCTCTTGCCAATTCTCCCGTTCGCGATTCACGATGAACGAATCTTAATAGATAGGAAAACAGTGGAAAATCGTACGACAGCGCTCCAGAAGTTGAGGACGCTGGAGAAGATGCAGCACGGCCTGCATCGGTAAATGATTCCGAGTCTTGTGGTCGTAAGGGTGACGGAATGATTGGAGAATTTCTCTGATTTTGAGCAGGTGAAGGAGCTCTTGTTGATAGACGTGATGAAGGAGGAGCGGGCGATGAAGACATGGCGAGATTGAAAGCTTTTCTGGCTTCTTCATCCCCTCCACGCTCTCGAAAAAAGATGATTAGAAGGTCTGGCGTATTGCGCAATCGGCTTGCAATGTGACACATCAGATCTACTAATCTTTCCTCAAATCCCAACGTTTCTGCACTTCCGATTCGACCGAATTTACGATGTGCTCGTTTCTCTTCGTCTTCATTGATTCCGATTATGTTTTGATCCAATTCTGTCCCTGTTGAAGTATTTTGTTTTGCTTGAAAAAATTCATCTCCAACGCATATACGCATCAATCGAACCAAAGGTCTATGTACCGCTTGTCTGGATAAGAATCGTTCATCAAGGAGAATGATCAGAGAAGCGAACAACTGTACAATTTCAGCCTGAGAGCCAGAAATGCGATCATTTGCAGTCAAACGGACTAATTGACCCAAGATATCGCCCTCTAATAGCATCTCCATGCATGGACCTGCAATATCGACATCTTCATCTGCACGGTTTGCCTCGAATACCAAAGCATCACACATGCTCTGTAGGCGATCGATCAAGTCCGTCCGAGATATACCATGATGCAAAGCAGCTTGATGTGGTGTGCGTAATGTAGAACGAATAGCTAGCCAATTATCACGAAATTGTTTGGCCCGTGTATGAACATTTCCCCTTTGCTTTTTGAATGGATTGCTTTGAAGATCTTGAGAAGACAAGGTAAACCTTGGCAGTGATTGTCTTGAAGCTGCATCTCTCGAAGTCTGATCGTTGTCGGAGTTGGTTTGCCTTTCTTCATTTCCTGCTCCACCAATCGCTTTTTTCAAGCGTGAAAGGACATCCATCGTCTGAAGCCTTCTACCCGTGCGTGTGAGTGAGTATGTGTGTTACAGTCACAGGAACATGTGAGAGTAAAAGAGACTTGCCTGTCCTTGTGAAATGATGGGAATAAAGAGAGGTGTACTCGAATAGGAGCTTGACAGCAAGAGAACAAATTAAGGTTGCAAAGTACGCACGGACTTCGTCAATCATTCTTCTTAGCGTCTTCGATTTCATAGTCTTGAAGCCATATTGATGTAATGAATTGTTGCGATAGGAAAGAAGGAAAAGGAATCTTGATCGCATCCTTACCGGCAAAATGGTACTCTCGTATGATGGCTTCACCTATGTGACCCTTTTTTTTAAATCTAAACTACTATACTACTTTAATAATTATATTATATCTCTATAGATATTAATAAATTATTAGTATAGAATATCGAATATCTATATTATAAAAAACTGTTTAAATAAATTTATATAAGATTTATTTGATTTGATTTTAACTTAGATATTATATCTATTATCTTAAAAACTTTTAGAACTCTCAAGATATTATATTATAGATTTCAGAAAGCTTTAATAATATCTATTATTATATTCTAATTTAATTAAAAGATATAGGCTTTATTATTTATTTTTTATATTTATGAGTAATATAGTTATATTCAAGAAGATAGAGAATATCTATTTTATATTATAGTATTGGTAAAACTTAATTATTAATCTATTCCAATAACCATACTACTTATATTTCCCCTTTTATCTGATCTTAATTATGATTATCTATAAAATCTATTTATATACCTATACTATCTGTATCCCTTGTATCTTCTTCTGAGTCTATAAGCTCTATATCCTCTTCTTTACCTCTAAACACTGATCAAAACTACTTAGAATCGGATATAAGTGGATATACGAAACTGGACATTGGAGTATCGACAGGTTGTATTGGCTCTGGCAGTTTTCACTGACCACCGACTTCACTGACATATTCAAATAAACATGATCATATCCCTTCTCGTCACATCATCAAAATTCCAGTGCTGTGCTACTACTGTAACAGTTGTAGTGATTTTACGTATTCTATTATATCTGAATGCCTGCACATATTTCATGTCAGGATCATGTCAAAAACGATGTTATATACGGTAGTAGGTCATGTGTAACATTTTTCATTGGAACGAATCGTTGCGAGACAGTTAAAACTTTCTGCTACTTCGACAGTGATAAGATAGAAATGTTGGCAATCAGATCGTCAAGTGTGCTGGCAAGCAAGAGTCAGGGTATATCGTCGTTCAAGCTAGAGACCATAATTGAAGAACGAAGTACCAACCGAGTGAAACAACCAAGTTTCGGAACAATCCATAGTGACGATTGAAAAGGGGAAAGCTACAATAAGAAATGAAGTGAGGTCAGTCAGTCTGTCGCTTCGTCGTTTCGCAAAGAGAGGTTGGATCAGATTGGGTTGCCCGGAATAAATTGGGTTTACGGGCGTTTTCGGCATTATGTGCTACGCAGACCGTCGTGATTTGTATCATCATATAATCATAAGAAATTGTGAACGAATGAAACTCACCTTTTATTCTCGACACTGCATAGGCTAGGCGAAATGCAACAAATGGAAGTCAGCTATCAAGTTGGGGGAAAATGCATCACTATTTTGAGTGGAATCTCATTTATCAGCCTTTTGATATCCTTCAAGCGTTGGCTCGTACACGGCCAACGATCGGACGGTAATTTCCAGCGACCTTCAAAAAGAAGATCAAGGATAATCATTGAAACACATCATGGATCTCTGCTCGATGCTCACCAATTGAAGATTGAATCGACCAGGTTTCAGATTTGCTAAAGAAGCGGCTTCGCTTTCATCCATTTGCTATCTCCGATCGGAGCATTTGAATCAAAGTCTAGGTGGACCTCCAAGGGTCTTTTATATGTTTGTTGCATCATTTGACGAGGCGCCATCTCTCCGGCGCAACTGATGAACGCACCATAATCTTCAGATAAAGACACCCGTAGTATCGCCTTGAATCGTCATTAAAGGATGGTCATCACTTAATTGTATACCTGCAGGAATGCAAGATGTATCAGCACATGTTCACGATTCCAAATAAGTGATCGTTGCCCAACGTAGGACATGCTTGTTTAGGGCGCTTGCCATTTCGATCGTGACAGGATCACCATCGGAATGAGTATGAGCATCAGTGAGTGGTTTTATCGCGAACCATTTGAACGCGAGACTCTAGTTTGTATATTCTCCTGCACAACAATGATTATCGTGCACATCATTTTGCTCGTAATACAGACTTTCTTTTGGAATGGGGTCGAATAGACTGAGCCATACTCACAATTTGATAGAAGGATATTGCCAAATCTTTCCTATGTATCCTCCATCATTCTTGGGTTTGGCAGCTTCTGATGTTGATCTGAAGAGCCGCAATTTGTCGGATGAAAGTGATGGTACTGGAAAAGGAAGATCCCTAACCGTAGCTAGCAGTTTTATTTTTCCTGCCTTTTACGCGCAATCCAATTCAATCATTTTTTTGCACGTGCTTTTGCTAGAATCGTCTTTTGGAGTCTTATGAATGCCATTGTCAAATGTTACTTTCGCATGGCTTGAGAGAGAACATTATATTCTTCCTTCCGTCATCCGAACCACTTGTAGATATAATAAAAGCAGATAAGCGTGAAAATGGCACCAACGACAAATAAGATATTATCCTGCGTACTTCTCCTTTCGATATAGCCAATCACATCTCTGCTGAGCCCTAAAGTGACGCCAACATCTCGCAATCTTCTTTGTGTGCCTTTGAGAATGTCTCTTTGCTCGGTTAAATTTGTCCAAACTTCTTTGCCTTGAGCGATGAAGCTGTCTAATTGAGTTTCCGTTTGTTGGATAAACGAATGTTCGCGTAAAGCATATCCTTCACGCATTGAATGCTCACGATCACCAAACATAGCAGCCGCAGACGCATTCATTCGGTATGCTTGTAACGGATTCGGTCTATCTTGAGGTGGTAAAGCGCCATGTGCATTTGCGATGCCGTTTGTATTGTTGTGAAGGGATTGATAGGTAGGAGCACGAGAGTGTAAGGCACTCTGTGGTAAGGCAGAAAGATGATTGCTGTTCGGTTGATGATATGTCGAAGTAGATTGGGCGGAGTCTTGGTGGAGCGTACTCGTATCATTCGTGCTTTTCGATTCGGGAGCAACACCATTTGTCTGCAAGAGAGAAAATGCATCAAGAAGGTAAGCAAATCGATCTTCAATATTTCAGCTAACTATTCACCTTTGCTTTCACTTTGTTAAACGCATTTTGCATCTCCTTCTCCTCCTCACGAAACTTCTTTATTCTTTGCAATGCTTTTTCCCGCTTTTGTACGTTCATTTCCCGTTTTGCCATGTTTTCGTAATCGTCTACAGTACGACTTAAAGCGGCCAATGATGCTGTCAATTGACCGACCAAAGAAGCAGATGATGAGGCATGATCAGAAGTAGATTCGATTAAAGTAAGATCGGACTGGATTGATGAAGATTGACGTAAGGCCAAATTGTAAAGGGAATTCATGATTAGTAAATGATGTCAAACTTGCAGTGGTTTGTCAAGATGCAAGTCAGCCTTTAATTTGTGACATTGAACTCATGATTGTAGAACAACAGAATGAAGTTTAAAGTTGGCGTCAGCGTGTTAGGCTGAAATGATTTGAGCTTATGTAAGCACATTAAATTTCAGAATGAAGTTTATGTATCAAAAAAAGATCGTCAAAATTGGCCTGATCACTTTCTACCATCATTCTCATTACATTTAATTGACATCATCATGCCACATAAACGTTCTAAGCAATCTATAAGACAAGCAGATCGGAGTACAAAGTGAGTGGACAATTTTCTGCGCATAAGGACGTTGAAAGAAAAAGAAAAAGCTAAATGGTCGAATTCCTTCTGATCTGAAAGAGGTAAAGATTTGCCGCCAAAGACAAATCAAGTAGATCTTCGTGATATGCCGAAAGGAGCAATGCGGATATTGAATGCCGCCAAAGTTCAAGAAGATTATCACAGAAGAAAAAAAGAAGAGAATGCGAAATTGATAAAGAAGAAGGAAAAGAACTTCAAAGGTCATGACGATCAAGAGCTCAAGATTAAAACAGGAGAACATTTGAAAGATTTCAATAGGTAAGTGCTTTTTATATGGTTTAATCACACGTCACAACATTCTTACCCTCATTCTTTCATCCTCCTTTCATTTCGCATTAGGCGTGTTGAGAATGCTATGGCATCCGATGTTAATGCAACGATTAAATCAACCAGAGGGTCCAAAAGAAAACGAAAGACAGACGAAAAGGATGCAAACGATCGATTCAAAGATGATGCAGAGGAGAAAAGGTCTTCAAATAAGCAGACAGAAGAGCGAAACAGTCAAAGTGATCGTGATTGGCAAATCGCACAACAGAAGAGGAGGATAAATGATGTAGTGCAAGCACCGCCTAATCTCACAAAAGCTCCTAGAGGAATGGTGGCGCCATCTATGCGACGAAAGGCTGAATTGGAGGCTGAACGTGAAAGAGCGATAAGAGCGTACCGTTTGGTGAAAGAGCAAAAGCAACAGAAAGCACAACAATAATCGAGATGATGGTGCAAAGTGCGACAACAAAATAGATCTATTCCAACATTGTATTATAATGTAACCTTGTATAAAAAAAAAGAACAAATGTCCGACAGCATTTTGGCTCCTTCTACTTATTATCAATCAAAATGTTGATGATGCAATAGCAGGGTTCCTATATGGCTCTCGATTCATAACTCTCCTCCGCGATGATCCTTCATTGAAAAAAGAGATCTATGGCACCTTCAACTCGCCTCAAAGATCCCAAAGAAAGGGAAGTGTCGCGAGCGGGTGTGGCAATGCAGCTAAAAAGAACCGTTAAGTAAGAGTGAATTGGTTTGGATATCCTTCCTTTTATTTCTTGTAATGATAATACTCACAGTGATTGATTCGAAGAGAAGAGAAGGAAGATGTGCAATGCTCATTAAACTCTTTTAATTCTTTTGCGCAAAATCTTTTGTTTGCAATAATGCACTTGGCCCATGCCTTGCACGTGCGCGCATTGAGAATTGCATTCATTCATTCATTCCTCTTTGCCATCCTACTCTTTACACTTACACCAACCCCTTCTTGGAGCAAATATGCAGATCATTGATCAGCCATAATATTCATCAAGTAGGGCATCGAACGGAAATGTCTCTCTTTTGTCCGACATGCGCAAATATGCTCTTGGTTGGCCGAGATGATATGAATCGAAACAGGTGGGAATGTAGTACATGTCCTTATCAATTTCCTATTGCCAAACAAATGACAACTAGGGTAAAGCTAACACGCAAACAAGTTGATGATATAATGGGAGGTGAAGATGCTTGGAAAAATGTGGATTCGACTGATGCTGCTTGTCCAAAATGCGATAATGCAAGAGCATTCTTTATGCAACTTCAAATTCGATCAGCGGATGAGCCTAGTACGTATGCAAGATAAAGATACAAAGATTTTTCCCTTGCTGACCACCTTTTCTTTTGCCATTTCACACAAAGTGACAACGTTTTACCGATGTACGAAGAGTGAATGTGGTTATCAATGGCGTGAAGGTTGAAAAAGATTCAATAGCCCGATTGATCGACAAGTCGTAAAGCATGAAAGGTATAACCATGTAATCACATCTACCCAGATCACAGAAGAGAGCCAGACGCTTTTAGAAAGCAAAATCTCAACGAGGATTATTTTGATGGACTGAAATATAGAAGTACATCTGTATTTGTACAAGTTTCGTAATAATACAATTATACATGCAATCAAGCCTTCATTACCGATTGAACGGCAGAAAAGAGTTGTTGATCAAAAGGCAAACTGTGCATTACCCCTAAAGCACGCTTTTGGACGTCTACCGGAAGACGAATGAAAGGGCCATCAATTTTGCCGTATTTGGTATGTTCCGTACAAAAGAATGCGCAGAAAGGCTTTGTGAGTGCTTTGATATCCTGCAAAAATTTCAAATTGTATAATCAATGAAGAGGATTGTTAGTAGATAAAAAGAGGAATAAAGGTGACAAACTCACGGATTGGGTCAATTTATTGTTAGCAGAATCACCATACCTCACAGACACTTGTCTCCACAATTCCAGAATTTCGTCACTTTCGATTGGTTCTCTTGTGTTTAATTCCCATAAACGTTTCGGCAAAGATACAGATAACCATTTAATCAGCTTCGATCGACAATTCTCATCTTGCAAAACGTCGTAGCGACCATTATACGATGAGAAAGTTGGCAGTATCAATAGATGACCTAAAAATCTCGTCGATAATCGTCTTGTGAAATGATCGCCCAAAGGAATGGAATGCCAATGATCTATAAGACCGCTTATCAATTCTGTAGATCTGCCATCATCAACCCTTCCTAGTAGCAACCAAACGGTTGGCAAGATCGCAACAAATCTTGAGCCGTACAGCACCGTCTTTTCAGATTCGAACAAATGCTGTATGTATCCATAGATCAGGTCAACATGAGATTTGCATTGAGCGTCTTTGCCACTTGCCAATGAAGAAAAAAGACCGTGCAGCTCGCAAAATGATAGATTTGTATCCAGCCAGGCTTCTTGTGATTCACTCGTCTCTGTGGATCCAAATGGGAAATGGGCCGCTATGCGATTGAGGAGCTTTGATAAATTTGAGTGCGATGTATGGTCAGCACGACGCAGTCCACGCCAAAGTTGAAGAGAGATAGAGACAACCAGCTTGACGATGCGAAAGCTAGTACTTTTGCTGCTATCCTTCTCCATCGTGCTGGATGTCAGACGCTGCTCAAGGATGAATGGGACAGCGTCCAGAAAGCAAGTTTGTAACAACGGAACGAGAGAACAAAAGATCTTTTGTCGAGCTTCAAAGCCTGTAGATGGCTCAAGACTTGACAAGGATATATGAGTGTCAAGCAGACCCTTTCCGGGTGATCCTATTACTTCGAAATTGTGGAATGAATGGGCGACTGAGTAGAAGGAGTCACGAGCGTTGAAATCTTCAAACAAATCATATGTTTCTGCGAATAGAGCTTCTGAATTTCCACAAGTCGACGTGCGTGTCTTCTTCTCAAAGGTCGAGCCAGAAGGAGATAAAGTTTGTAAGAACGAATTCTGTTCTGCTTCATCGCTCAAGGTTGATACGATCAAGCAGCTTGGATAGACATTAACTCCGATATCTGCTTTATCGGATCCATTTGTTATCTTGTCTGGTGAGCTTGTGACTTTCAAAGATCGGGTTGAAGAGATTTCTTGTAAGGCGAATTCTAGGAAACGATCCAAGCTAGAGAGGATAACCAACAGCGCATGATTCGATAGATCCGTCGAGAGAATGGATGCTCTTGCATTCGATAAAGCATCAGAGTCCTTTCTCACTCCCATTGCATCGATTGTAGGGGTAAGGGGTATTCCTAATTGAGTAAAGTAACACTTCAAAAGCCTAGCACCGTAACTTTGATCCACCTTTTGTGCCTGACCGACATCAGAAATGGAGTTTGCAAAATTCTCCCAGCCAATTACCATACATTGTCCAAACGCCGTTAGAGAGATATTGAGAAATTTGACAGCGTCAATTCGAATATCGGGAAAGATGTGAGACATTGATGATGTGATGTGCAAAACGACGATGGATGTATAAGGAATCAAACGTTTGGCAGTCAATTTGGTGGTGTACGCAGTCCAAAATTGCAGCAAAGCGTTCCGTACGCCGACATCATCATCTGAAAGTAGTCTTACCACATTTCCCACAATCCTAGAGGGTATCAGAATGTTGAGAGATCTTTCATCTTGCAGTAATTCGAGTAAGCCATTAAGTGCATCTCGACGAACGTTGGCGGTAGGATGTCTTAATTGACCTAATAAATCTTCAAGATTTAATTTCCTTCTTGTTACGAGAGTATTTTCACGTTCACGACCGATACTCTGTTGTGGTAAAGCGATTGAACGAGCTTTGAATGAAGTATTTGTTGCATTGTTGGTTGCCTGTTTACCTTTTCCTAATTTCGTTTTGCGTTTATCAAAATCCTTTGTTATTTGAGAACGCGATTTTGCGCTTTTTGCTGCAACCATACTTTTGAGGATGGATGTAAATCTAATTCTCGATTAGCATGATTGAGCAAGAAGATGAAAGAAAGAAAGAAGGAATGGTAATGACCAAGAACCAAAAAAATAAAACTTTAAAAGTGTTGCAATACACGTGCACTGGTTTTAGTCTTGCACGGGCGTACGCCATTCACAGCATTCATTCATTCAGGTGGAGGATAACCAAAAGGTCAAGCGCAAAGGTGAATCCTTCTCTTGTTCTAGAATACCATATCATCTCAATCTCGATCATTAAAACTGTCTTTAAGTACTCAATCAGTTCAAGAATGTTGATGAGAAAAATCGCGCAATGAACAGAATTGCTCATCCGAAAAGGCTAACCGAACTCCGTCTCGCTTCGGCGGGAAGGAGTGTTGCAACACCAACGATCCGTTCGATAGCGTATCAGAAATTTAACTTCTCTTGCCATAGCGGAAAGTTTCGCAACCTTTCTGACGATCTCAAAACGGTCTCCAGATGTCCCAGTTCTTCGTCATTTTCCAAAAAAAATTCAATCAAAACCTTCTCACGTTTCAATCATAATACAGCACAATCCCTAAAGACAGAGTACACAAATAGCAAAACACATTCGGGTGAAAATAGAGATACAAAATGGCCATCTCTAAGATACAAAAACCTTTTGATCGTTGGAGCTGGCACATTAGCTATAATGATCACGATCAAACACGGGAAAGTGGGCAATCAATTATCTGCCGAAGCATCACTTCAGACACAAGAAAGTGATTCAGATGAAGATTTTTCGCAATTTGCCAAATCGGTGGAAGAAATGGAATCGGAAGAGAAGCGAACTCATGCAAATGTTGTAGTTCGATGGATTTACACGATTCACGATAATATACAATTGTACATCATTGAGCCATTAGGAACAGCGAAGCGATTTTTGGTTTTAGTAACACTCTTTTTGCCCGTCATTATCACTACGCCAATGCTCTTTGTCGGCAGAAGGAGAGAAGGAGGTAGACGAAGAGGCAGAAAGATGGCAAAAGCAGAAGGAGGTACGCGGTGGGGTGCATTATGGTGGTATGGATTTTTGGTCAAACAAATGGAACGTGCTGGACCAACATTTATCAAACTTGCCCAATGGGCTGGATCACGACAAGACCTATTTCCGAAAGAACTATGCGATCTGCTCGGCAAACTTCATTCGAACGGAAAACCTCATTCGCTAGCATATACTAAGAAAGTCATCGAACGTGTTTTCGGTCGTCCTTGCGATGAAGTTTTTGAGGATTTTCCGGATGAGCCACTTGGGATTGGTGCAGTTGCGCAAGTGTACAAAGCTACTTTACGACCTGATCTCATCCCGCCTAAATATCTTGAGCAAAAGCATAAACGATCCGGAAGTCAATTGTCAGACCAACTTGCATTATCAGCCGATGATGAAAGGCCACCTCCAGCCATTCCAACAGCTTCAGTAGCTATCAAGATCTTACATCCAAAAGCTCATCGAACTATTACGCGGGATATTCGAATCATGACATTTTTCGCCAGCATGCTAAACCTCTTTCCAGGAGCACAATGGCTCTCGTTTCCAGAAGAAGTTGAAGTCTTTTCGGAAATGATGTTTAGCCAGTTGGATTTGCGTAATGAAGCAGCAAATTTGGATCGATTTGAAAATAATTTCATCAAACGTGGTAGTGCGATTTCCTTCCCAAGACCTCTGATCGCTTTCACATCAAAAGAGATTCTGATAGAAGAATATGAAGATGCGCTGCCATTGAAGCATTTTCTGAATCTAGGAGGAGCGGGATTTGATCATCGAATTGCAAATTTAGGCTTGGATGCATTTTTGGTGAGTGAGATTGGTATGCATCTTGTAGGAAAGGAAAAGTACTGATTCGATTCTCCATCTTTTCCCTTTTCAACATTCGTAGAGCATGTTGCTCTTGGATAACTTCACCCATGCAGATTTGCATCCGGGTAACATTATGATCAAATTTTATCGTCCTACGACCAAATCATTATTGCGACATCTATTCACAAGAATTTTGTCCAAATTTGAAAAAGATTACGCAACTGGGACATCAAATCTTTCTTCAATCGACGATCAAACCGAGAAATCCGTCGTTCATGATTTGATGAAAGTTAAACATGATCAAGATGCTTGGCTTGATGAATTGGATCGATTAGACGAACTTGGCTATCAACCTGAATTAGTGTTCTTGGACGCAGGATTAACCGTTGCCCTTTCACCAACAAATCGAAAGAACTTTTTAGAACTGTTTAGTGCGGTTGCCGAATTCGATGGAGCTTTGGCTGGCCATCTGATGGTGGAACGTTGTCGAACGCCTGAATTGGTGATCGACGAGGATACTTTTGCGTTAAAGATGCAAGATTTAGTCTTGAGCGTAAAGAGTAAAACATTCAGTTTGGCAAAGATCAAGATTGGCGACGTTCTGAGTCAAGTTCTTGCAGCTGTTCGTGAACACCACGTCAAAATGGAAGCGGATTTCGTAAACACTGTGATTTCGATTTTATTATTGGAAGGTATTGGAAGACAATTGGATCCTTCGATGGATCTGTTCAAGTCTGCTTTGCCTATTTTACGTAACTTAGGTCGCGAGATGGCAATGCAAGAAGGAGGTGGCATGCTAGCCCATAGGCATGATATCAAAAATCTATCTCCAATGATCAAATTATGGTTCTGGATGGAAGCACGTTCTTGGCTTTTGGGCGTAGCAGATCGTGCGAGCGTAGATGCATTTGTTCGATACGACTGGTTATCAACATCTGCCTGAAGAAGAGGATCAATGCGCAATAGATAGTTGTTTCACCACAGTTGGTGATGAAGCATATTTTCTGATGTGAGATAGATTGTATAGGTACACACTTGCAATCCGAAGATTTTGCATATGAAAGACAGAATGATACATTTAAGCCACAGCAAAGATTTTGGTAGACTTTTGACGTTTCAACACCAGACGGAAGGTTACATCCCCTTTCCTAGTTTCGTGGGAGTGTTCCTAGTTTCGCTGGGAACGGCTAATATGCCTTCTGACGGAAGACGTTCTTGGCGGCGTCAATGAGGGCGGCAAAGGCTCCGTCTTTGAAAGTGTGGTTTCCGAAGCTGCCCGCCTTACCGCTCGTTGTACATGTAATTGCGAAAGGATCTCTCTCGCCAGTTCTTTCACGAGAATCGAATCGCTGTGTGACAAAGTTTCGATCATTTGTACGAGTCCAAAATCACGCATAAGAAGCTGTACGTCTGGATGGCTATCGCAGATTGCTTTGCTGATTCGTAGCAGATTCAAACGAACAATTGCTTTTGTTGAATTTTGTAGTCGATCCGTCAAACGTTTGAGGAATAGCGGTTGCTTTCCCAAAGCCAACGTGATACTATTGCTCAACCTAAAGATCTTCAAAAAAGTCTCCAACAGGTTTTCCAACGGCCGAAGTTTGGAAGACACAAAGACAAACAGTAAAGCTTGAACGGAAGTTGGACGAAGTAGATATTCTTCAATGCGAGCCAGATCGCCTTGAAGCCAAACACAAATGCTCTCCAATGATTGCAATTGCCAATTTGGATCTTGCAAGAGTTCCAAAAAGAACCCTAATCCGCATTGCTGACTCAAGCGCTTTCTCGTAGATTTATCGCCTTGTGCCATATCACAGAGGATTGGCAGTGCAAATTGTTTAAGAGGAGAATTTGTTTTTGCGACTCGTAAAAGGTGTGGAATTAGCCCTGCTTGGGCCGCTTCTTCTTGTCGGCGAACGTTCAGACGACATAGATTGTACATCGCATTGAGAATCTGGTTCGAAATCTCTGTTCCCATTTTTCCTTCATAATGACTTGCTAGAATATTGACAAGAACTTCAATAGCATTGCAGTTTTCAATCTCATCCAACAGACCAGGACTCATGCTCAAGTTCTTCAATACTTTGAGAAGTTGTACCATTGCATTGGTGTCAAGTCGCCTTAGGGCTTGCAAAAGACGTCTTAGCACGATACGGGTCGCCAATTGTCTTTTCATCCAAGAATCGGATGATGAATAGATGAAAAGGGTTTGCAGAATATGTTCTTTTGCCGAATTCGCTTCTTCGTTTTCATCTTGGTCCTCCAACACATTCAAAAGTGCGCCTGAAAGAGGTTCCAATAGTCCTTCTTTGGCCAACATTCTGCAAAAGTCATTCCTGGAAGCTGGGCTTTGCAATTCCAAGACAGCGTTCACACAAGCAACTCCTAGCCATACGAGATCCCTTTGCTGTGTATAATCTTCATCGATCAGTTCAACAAGAGTTCTCAAGCCCCTACAGCTCAAGACAAATTGTAACGTCAATGTGGATGTTGAACACATACTGAAGATGAAGTGAGCCGCTTCAATGCGAACGTGATGCGGATATTTCTTTGAGCAGAACGGCATCACAACGGGAATTGAACCTATCAAGCATAAGTTTTCCTGTGCTTGAACGTCTTCAAAGATGACGACATTTAGCAAACCGAGCAATCGACTTATGACATCGCGTATTTGGATAGATTCCAATAATTCAATTACTGTCAGAGCTCCATGGGCAGCCAATGCTTGTACTTTCATCTCTGGTTGCTCCGTCAGAATGAGTTCTAGTTCATCGCATGTCTTGATCAAATCGTCTTCCGTTGCCTTTATCGACAAATGTTCGAACAATTCCAGCACATGAGCAGACATGCGTGCGTGCTTATCACGAGCAATATTTGCTTCCAAATCAGCCGAAGCGGCAAGACTATCTTTTTCAATCTCTAGGAATGGGTCTTCTTCCGCATCTTCTTCTGCCATCCATGACTTGCTTGATTGCCTATCGACCAATCTCAAAGGCATCAAAAGCTTATTGTTGTCCTCTGCTTCATCTTCCATCACCAAATCAGAGAAATCATCCTCATCGTTCTGCTCCGAGTATTTGTCCAGGCTTGCATGACTATCTTGACCGGGTTTGTAATGACTTCCTGGCTCGTTCGAAAGCTTGCTTTGCATCTCCAGACTATGATCTGTACCTTCACGTATTTGTTTCAATATACCGTCGAGGTCGCTTGGATGCAAAAGTCGTTTTACGGGAAGATCATTCCTGCCTTGCTCACGTTGGAAGAGTGCAAAACGCTCCACATATTTTTCAACATCACCGTTTGAGATCAGATCTGAATAATCCTCCTCTACTTCCTCATGTGACTCCAAAGTGACATTGAGACTCGGAGTGGAGAATGAGCTGATCCGTGAAGGTCGTATTGTCGCCCCATTATCTTCCTCTTCAACTTCAGCGTCTACAGCTTCAACTGCCGATTTTCTTCTTATCTCACCGTGTTGCCTATCCAAAGCGGCAAGCTTTGTCGTTGTGATTCCTTCTTCGAAATCATTATCCCAATTATCGGTATCCTGCTCGACTTGATAATGGACAGGCAAAGGGCGATTAGCGTCAATAACGGATGTTGCCAGAGGTTGCCGCAGATCGACGAGGCCGGCTTTGGTTCTTTTCAGATCTCGCTTCTCGGGAGGTTTTGGTGGTGTGGCACTTGTTGCAGATCGGTGCTGGGTATTGGTAACCCTCTGAACATCCTTCCTTGCAGATGTGTTCGACTGAGATCCTGCACCTTTACCGTCGCGTGATTGGGGAAGAGGATTATTGGATTCATTGATTGCTTCATTCCATTCTTTGACTGTCTTTACAGCTTCCGCATGACCACGAATCGATCCACCACTTCGCATCTGCTCTAATTGTCGTCTGGCAGAAACCATCCAAGGATGCTTCGATAACTTCTTCGCAGAAACACGTAAGTTCACATCCTTTTGAAAACAGTGGAGCAAAAAGTCTTTCACAACGGGAGAAGCACCTTCAGGTAAAGGAGGGCAATCATCTTGAACAATTCGAAAAAGGGCAGGCATTGGATCCAGTTGATGATAGGGCGGTTTACCTTCCAGTAGCTCAATCACCACGCATCCCACACTCCAAATATCGCTTGCAGTCGTTGCACCACTTTGATCGATCACTTCGGGTGCCATCCAATATGGACTTCCCACCACTGCATTGTTTCCTACCAAAGAGCCAGCCTTTGTTGCTACGCCAAAATCGGCCAATTTAACGCTTCCATCTTTTGTTGTGAGAATGTTGGCGCCTTTGATATCGCGATGAATGACACCTTGGTCGTGTAAGTAGATCAAGCCTTCCAGGATCTGAGATATATATACGCCCACCAAGCCTTCAGGAAATTTGCCAAATCGTTTGCATATATGCTGTAGAGAACCATTCTCACAGTATTCCAGAATGATAAACAAATACTCCCTTGTCTTTTCGGAACCTTTGTATTTGACAATATTCGGATGCTTTAAGTTTTTCAAAAGATCAATCTCTGCCATAATTTCCCTTAATTCTCCACGTGGCATATTGCCAAGTCGAACTTGCTTTACAGCCACAGTTTCACCAGACATCCAATTCAATCCTCTGTAGACTGATCCAAATGCTCCTTTGCCAAGGCTATCCCCGAGCTGAAAATGACCAACACGAAGGGCGGATTGATTTGCATTATGATGATTTTGATCAGTACGGGAACCATGATGGGAAGGAGTTGTTGGAATGTCGGAAGAGAAAGTACGCAAAGGCATCTTAAATTGGCATTTCAATAACTGAAAATGAGGATGTTGGTATGCGATTTTTCGTCTAGGATCGTCATCAACAATAGGCGATTACTTGCGTGCAGAGTTTAATGATTTGTATGATGATTTTGCCCTTATGTGATCGAATGAATGCGGTATTAATATAGAGAAAGGAGAAGTTGGGCGTTACTTATCATCCCTAAATCTTAATCATTAATTTTTGGTTTGACCCCCCCTACCTCTCTTTATGCGGGCATTCGTGGTGTTGGTGTTGTTCTGACAGGCTAAAGACGCGTCACGCATTATCATTTTGTGTGGAGAGAACTTTTAGCCTGATACTCTGCTCACCATCATCCTCATCATCATCATCATGTCGAATACATCTGATCATCGCACTTTTATTAAACAGACTGCTTCAACAGCACATGAACAGCAAGCTGCAAAACTGGAGAAATTATTAGCCAATCCGGATAAACCAATTGCCCTACCACCACTACAACATGAAAAAACACTTCGACCGCCAAGAGAGATTATGAAAAATGTGAGCGGAAGTAGTGCTGGTGCTGGAAGTGGAGAATTTCACGTTTATAAGCATAGTAGAAGGAGGGAATACGAAAGGATAAAGTTGATGGAAGAAGCTGCCGAGAAGGAGAAAGAAGAAAAAGAATATCAAAATCGTCAAAAAGAAGTACAACTTGCTATCGAAAGAAAGACGAACAAAAATAGGGCAAAACGCGATAAAAGGAAAGCAGCAAGAGGAGCAGCGAAATCAGCAAATCAAACAGATATCAACAAGCACATAGACGAAGAAATTTTGGAATCTACGAATGAGAAAAGACGGAGGTTACATGCAGAAGGCGCGTCCGAGGTGATCTTCCAACAGCCCGAATCTGATTCAAAAGGGTGATTTGATGATGGTTCAATTTGAAAATATTGTACAAGAATCTCAATTAATGCAAAATAATACCAAGGTTTCGATAAAATTTCAATCCATCTAATTTGATATCTAATATAGCAAGGGTACATAACAAAGCAAATAATATCATAGTACATCGTTCTGCTCAATCTTTTTCTTACCACCACGACCACCGCGACTACCGCCACGACCTCCGCGAGTTTTGTTTCCGCTCGATCCGCCTCGCTTCTTCGGCTCGTTGCTCGTCCGTTGACGACTTTGGTCTTCTTTTACACGTTTACTTTCTTCTTCAAACCAGCTTTCAAACGCTTTCCTTTCTTCTTCCTCTTTTGCCCTTCTCTCATTATCACGTCGGTCTTCTTCTTGCAATTCGGCAAAACTTTTTGGTGCACGCTGTTGATTATCAGTCAAATCTTTCAATCGTTTCAATTCTTCGGCCTGAATATCTGCCAAAGACATTGTTTGTTGTTGATTTGATGATATCCAAGCCTGCGATGACGGTCCAGGCCAGCCATTCGAGCCGGTCGGCGGTATGGACTGCCTAGACATTCCCCTTACAGAGCTTGGTGATGACCATGATGATCCTAATTTATCGGCAGCAGGCAAAGGTCTTTGAGGAGTGGTGGATTCAGGGAACGGTAGGGAACGTTGAGACGTTGTTTCATTAACGGCTGGCATCGACCATTTGGGCGGTGTTCCTTGGACGAGCGGCACTGACTTCTGAGACGTTGCTCTTTCATTAATAGGTATATTTTTACGATAAGATCTTCTGTCGACAGACGGTGATGGCCTTTGAGACGTTGTCTTTTCAGCAGCCATGATCGAACGTAAATCTTGCGGTGCTGATGCGCCAAGAGGTGAGCCATGAACTTCTTTGCCATTCGATTTGTTCACTTCAATTGTTCGCGATTTCCATGGAGTGCCTCGTGAAGGACTAGAACCATTTTCGACTAAAGATACAGCAGGCGGCAAAGAGAAGTTTTCGTTTGATTTACCTATCTGCCTTTTGCTCTCACCGCTGATGTCGTCCATCTCGTCATCCATGGAAAACATCAAGCTGCTATCATTCGTCAACGTAGAGGCGCTTAATGTACTGTTGTTCCCTACTCCAGGCTGCCATGCCTTCAAATCGGGACTTGGTATCGGTGATGAAGTTGATTGAATAGCACGCTGGATATTGGACGATCGACGCATTTGGATTGATGTATTCGTTGGGGATAAAGGTCTTGATTCTATTGAGCGTGGCATCCTCTTTGGCACACGAGCAGCAATGACTCCTAAAGATGGAAGCGGAAGATCCAAATCGAAATAGAAATCGTTGTGCAATGATATGAGATTGCTGATATGCTGGGCAGCTCTTGTACGATGCAATCTTTCATCTTGCTTTTGACGAACGTGTTTCGTTAGGTCTTTGATCATCTTGTTTTCCAAATCGTCTAACATGCCTGATTCCAATAATGTTTCCAATGTGCGAGCTGAATAATCCATGATTGATTCTTTGAAAGCAGGAACATGATAGAAGTCTGCATCGGTCATGAGAGCAGCTACGTTAGATGGCAAAATCCTCTCCCGTAAGAAGTCACAGCAAACAACTTTCAATTTTTCAATCAGAAGCTCGTTGGAAAATGCCAAAATTTCAGTGACAAAATCGATGAATTCGTCGTGTTGTCGATTCGAATCACAATTCTCAAAGAGTTCGTATGTTTTATCCGTGTAAAGGAACATCAGTGCGATCCGTGCGACCTCCCAACGTGTATGAGACATGTCGACCTTCAGGACACCTTCAGTTGTCCATCTATTTGTCGTCCAATGCGGTTGAAGAAGAGCGGCGAAGAAAGGTGATCGGCGTAGCATGATGGAATGACATCGCACCACACGATCCGACAATTGCAGTTCCACATCGTGTAGATTTGATTTTCCTTCCTCTTGCTCTACATTGGTGAGAAAGAAGGAGAGCATGTCCCTCGACAACTGCGGCTTAGGAGATGCTGGAACGGGTAAATCAAGTGAATGCGATAATGCGGGTAAATTGAGCACATCGACCAGGTGTTTCAACTGTGCTCTAATCTGCGCAGCAGAAGACTTCATCTTTGCAAAGTCCTTCTCTACCCGCATGCCTACACTTGAGGTCCAAACCGGTGGAATATCGTCGGTGTAAAGGTATTGAAGCAAAAAGAGTGCAGTGACGAAAGAACAATTCGTCAGAGATAAGGTAGTATATTCATTCGCTCTTCGACGTACGATGATGCCGTCAGACATTTTACCTGAACCTTTCATCGGCGGATCGAGTAAGATGCTTGCCAATTCAGGGAGACGTGCAGCGAGTATAGTTCTGTGTGCGGGAAGATATCGATTCGCAGCAACGACAAACATATCGCACCCGAATGGCATTCTTTCCTTTGGATTTAAGGCAATTGATACATCTTGATGATCGTTCACATCCATCCATCTACGTCCAGCTTCGGCAATCGTTTGTGCTTGAGCTATATATTGAGCACCAAGATTACTCGTATCACTATCACTATCATCATCATCAGATGATAACATCACCTCTGCAACATCGTCATCATCGGTAGTGTGTAATTCCGTTGCGAATGCTTCGGCCAAATCTCCAACGATATCTTGTCCATCCTTTTCGGCTGCCGAGCTCGTTTTGAGGTGTGCCAAAATGTCACGAAGATCTTCGTTCAGTGTACGCGAACGCGAACGCACTTCCCGTACTTTAGCATCTGTTTTGATAGCTGCCAATCCACCACTTTCATTCATCGCAACACGAACAACTCGTTGCAAGTAGGGGACAGGCTTCCAACCTGATTTGCCCTTGACTGAAACGGAGGGAAGAATATTGCTCGAATAGGAAGCATTCGTGTTGGATGAAATATTCGACTGAGGTAAAATGTCGCTTTTGCGAGATCGAACGAAGACATGACCAGACTCCGTTACGATGATCAAATCTTGACCGCTTCCTATGCCCACATCTCGCGCAGCTCCTACTTTTTTATTCTTTCTCACAGACCATATCAATTGCGGCTTGATGTTTGCTTTTGCTCCCGTTGACGTTCCACTTGCTTGCGCATATTCGGAAGGATGTTCTGGTGTGAATTGCCAAAGGTCCCCAATGTCTGAGATAGCAGCAATGGAATTATTGGGCCCCGCAGCAATCTTTATTATCGAGGGCTTTGGCCGCGCTTGCCTTGGCCGATAGACGCTTGCCTGTGAACTGAATGTCAGATGTGGGAAGCGAATGAAAAAAGATGTATCATTGTGTAGTAACAAGATATCCCCAGAAGACAGAAGGCAAGCGGTTGCGTAATCGGTCAAGGCTACGGATACGATTGACATGTTTGGCGTGATTGCCGTTACCTTTCTCGGCACAATTTGCGAAGGCGTAGCCGCACGATCATATCCCAATTGGCCCGTGTTGCTACCCCATGTAAAGAGTGCATCTGACGTAAAAGCAGCCGAATGAAGTTTACCGGCAGCAATACCGATCACTCTTTCCTTTTTAAGTATCCCTGTCACTTTACGGGGACTGATTTGAATATCAAGATCGGCATTTGTGAGAGAGGGGCCACCAAATGTTGTTTTAGCCGCACCACCACCACCACCTTTTGAGGACGATGCAACGCTTCCTTGATCCAATTCGAGAGCATAACCAAGTTGTTGAAATTTGTTGAAGCCAAAGCTAAAAATGTCTCCTTCTGTAGTCAAAATCATCGTGTGTTCTGGACCAATTGCAATAGCTTCTGCTGTCCCATCAAAATCTTTCAAAACCTCAAAATTTGGTTGTGTAGGTGGAGCTCTGCCAATGCGGCCAGTATTGCCTATACCACATACCCAGACATTTCTGGAAGGTTGGGATGTGAGCACTATAGTGGCAAATCTACTCATTCCTACGTCCTTGACCTGTATCTTGTCAAATTTTGTGCCGGCTTTGCGTCGGGATCGCTTTTGTTCTGACTTTGTTCCAGTCTCCTTCATTCGATATTCAACGTCTTCATTAAAACGTAATTGTGCTCTATCAGGAAAAGCTCGATCATCACTTGTTCCTAAACCGAGCGTAAAGTTGCGATTTGCGCCCCAAGTGAACAATTCTCCGGCCAGATTTCCAGGCGTTTGAGCTTTCGGGGGATTCGTACCATGAACGGTGGAATTGTAGAGATCAAAAGGCGTCAAACCTTCAAAATCCTTGATGCGAATATCAGCTGGAGGTGAGCGTTTGAGAAGTGTTAAAGCGGTGAGAAGGTTTCCATGATAAAGTGCCCTATGCAAGGCTGTCCAACCGCTTTCATGATCTTGCAGATTGACATTGATAGCCGGGTGAGCGAGTAAAGCAGTCAAATAATCTATGCTGACCGGTTCCGTACTTGCTGATACGAGATGCAAGACCGTTCTCCCATGATAGTCCCTTCTATTCACTTCGGCCGGTGAACAAGGTCCGTTGAATGCATTTGTTGCACTACCCCACGATTGTCCGCCTTGGGCTGGTGATCTTCCTTGAGAATTCGATAAAAGATTGGACGAGCTGACGTCTTTGCCAAAACTACTGGGACCTGCACATCCTTTACCATTCGCCAATGCATTATCTGACAGTTGGGATTGTGTCAAAACGAGTGCGCCACCTCCTTTCAAGACTTGACGAAATCGCTTCAAATCACGACATGCCCAGCAATCCAGCAGCGAAGGCTGGAAAACGACTGTGTTTACCATACGAGAGTGAAGAGAGCACTTTTGCTATATCGAAAGTAGAGAAGCAAGGGACGTTTACGAGTTTAACGTTCCCTTGTTCGAACCACTTTCGAAATAAAAGGCTCCCTGTTTGCTTTTGAACGAGATCGCTTCCGTCTTCGAGTGCGATCTCAAGAAAAGTGCAAGTTTTTATACGAGTGCCCTTTTGCAGCAAGAGAGAAACGATCGACTTTTGCTGGGCTGAGGTGTTCGCTGAGCAATCTGGTTTCAATACTGCTTTTGTTTGTACAGATTGAATTGGTCACTAGTCGATAAATACTATCGATGCGATACACTGAGTAAAATTTTGGGCTGCTGTTTGGTATTTCAACGTAAAAAGGGCGAAAGAGTGTTGAAGGGGGTAAAGGGTGAGAGAAAATTGATGGTGAGAGAAGCAAAAAGATGTGAACGTGTGCTTAATCATATTTTTAGGGAAGACGATGGATGAATGAGTATATGCATGCATTATGCACCTATCTTTTTCCCTCTTTCCGCCCTGACGCCCGCCTTTATCAAAGCGCGAGCGCCCGCTTTAACATCATGACACTAAAAACGCGTTCTCAGGAACTGGCTTTTAGCACGGGCCTAATAAAATGTTAAAACTTCCAAATTCTTCCTGGCCATCATTACGTCCACATTGGAGCTGGTAAGGATCCCGTTGAGAATGTCATTCAATCCCGTCATTCTCTTACAAGAACGACAATGTGCTCCCATATACGATGACATTGATACTGGAAGAAATTCAGCGGCCGTAAAACGATGTGATGATCTTTTGACCCAACAGCCCAATCTACACTTGGCATCTTCTTTGAAATCGATAGCTCTTTACAGACAAGGAAAGAAGAAAGAAGCAAGCGAAGTGGCGGATAAGCTAATAGAACTATCAGAAAGCTCTCTTAATAGCTCAATTTTGGCACCACTATGTATGACACTTCAATCTTTAGGGCGGGATCAAGATGAAGCTGATCTACTGGAAAAGTACAGTAAAGCACAACCCGGATCGATCGAATGGACAAAGAAAGCATGCACATCCTTCATTCGAACCAAACAATGGCAAAAAGTTCAACAAACAGCATTGAAAATCCATAAAATGGTATCAACCAAGAAAGCCACGGATGATTTGTACTTCTGGTGGTCGATGCAAGCTTATTGTTTAATTGCAAATGATTCGTCTCTTATGGGCTATGCTTTAGCACTTCCATTAGCTCATAGGATGATCTCAAAGCAATTCGAGACGAAGCCCCTTAGTCAAAACTCTGATGAAATTCTCTATCTTTCGGGAAGGATTATGCAAAAGGAAGGTGAGAAAGCTTGGCAAGAAGCATTAACGCTCTTAAACGAAAGCGAGACAGGCAAGGCTCTTTGTGCAAAAAGTCTCTCCCTGCAGGCTCTTCGACATGATTTGAGGCAAAGTACAGGGCAATGGAACGTGATCAACACAGAAGCAATCAAAGCTTTGGACGATGGAATGCGGAATTGGCAAGCGGTGGAAGCGGCAGTGGAATCCGCTTTGGCAATGGCCGAAACGACATCCAAACCCGCCTCAATACGATTCGTGGAGGAAAAGTTTCTCAAATTGGCAAGGCAGGATAAAAGAGACAGAACCACACGTCTAGCACCTCTATATCTACTCAAACAGACAACAGAGAGAGAGCAACAGTATGCCTTGCAAACGATCAATTTTGTACAACTCTTCAGTTCTTATTTTGACGATTTCAAAGGAAAAGGATGTGCATACGAAGACTTGGAAGTGTATCTCTCACTTGCGACTGGGCAAGAGAGACAAACAATATCACAAAAACTTGATGAGGAGGAGAATAAACTTCAATCTGACAAGCCAATGTCGTCTCTGGATGAATTGTATGGTCTACTGAACATTGCGAAATTGAAGAGAGCTATGCAGGATGTCACAAAGATTGATGCTGCTTCAGAGGAAGCGCTCGCACTCTCGTATGCGCAATTGTACGCAAAATCTCTACCGATGAGTAAGGATTTGCCAAAGACAGAGATGCAACCCGGGGACGATTTTGCCTTATTGACGGTGCAAGCTTTGGTTCATGCAAGCTCTATACGGCGAAAAAGAGATGACAATGATTGGCAAAAAACTCTATTTCTGGCCAGCACGGTGATGAAAGAGGGTTTGAAGCATTCTCCCAAAGCATACAAGCTACGGATTTTGCAAGTTCGCTTGTTACTACAATTCGGATCTGTCGATCAAGCTAGGTTACAATTTGAATCTCTAGGGATCAAAGCTGTGCAATATGATACCCTTGGTTGGATCTTGGCTCACAGATATGCACATTCGACTTTGTTGCTGCCTCCCTCATCGGAAGAAGAACGTCAATGGCTTATCAGCATGCGTCAAATGCGTAACGTATGGCAAGAAGGCAAGACGCAGGTACCCGAAATGGTATGCAGGGCTATGGAAAACGGAACATTCTCCAGAGTGGAAGAGTTGCTTTTGTTTGGGGAAAAGTTGACAAGTTCTATCGCAAGGCAATTGCATCTGATTGAAGCGGCGAGATTAGAACTGATGAACATAAATCCCGGCATCCGTGAAGAAGTGATCAAAAATGAACTACAAGAAGCTAGAGAGAAAGTTTCGGCGAACACACTCTACGATCAGAGAGACAAAAGTGTGATCTTGAACCTTTTACCGCCCCAAGCAGATGACATCATTGTGCAAACCGAGCCCACCTCGACTGCGAAAGAGCCAAACGAGGCCTATGTGCGATCGATGATATCTGTACTCTCAAGCACACTACTTTCATCTCAGAAGGACGACGACGAAAAGAGCAAGAGGGTTTTGAAGTACGATGCAAGCGAAATCTCTGCAGACGAGAAAGATTTAGTAGACATCACCACTTTACTGAATGATCAAGCAAGCTCGGAGGAGGTACTACAACGTCTTGATGACATGGTGAAGAGGATATCCATTCCCAATCAACTACCAAGCGCAACATTCCATAGTGCTTGCATAGCTTTTGAGACATTCCGCTTCATCACATCGCATGGTGGATGTCCAGCTTCAGGTGAGGTGAATAATAGCCTTCGGAAAGTACGTGATGCTTTGCAAGCATATGATTGGCCTGCAATCCCAGAAAAAATTTCCGATGAATGGGAAGATGTCTTTCACAGCATACAAAATGTTGGCGAAATCAAAAAATCAAACCGTTCTACTACAACACTTTCATCTCTGAAAGACACCACACAAGAGATCCTACGCGGTACTCAAATGGCAGTGGAATCATTAATCAGCAGAATTGATGCTGTAGTCCAATAGATCCATACAATACAACTATGATGATGAGTTGCAGCTTTGTATGGTGAAATAGTTCCGCCGAGAACTGATTTGAGAGTCTGTATAGTTGTTGTGCCCGCAAGTATTGCCATTAGCATGCTCATGTCCATCACTTTTGCACTCCTGCGTGAGTCCAATGATGAAGGAAAGAGTCAAGCATGAAACTCAGTCATTTTAGTGACTTTCTTCTTGCATAAAGTCACGCTAATATGGAGTATACGTAGGCGTACGTGCGTGCGTACGTAGGGTAGCATACATCCATTATTAGCCAACTTGATTACTTATCCTTTTGGATGACTATGATGAGAAAAGGCTTGAATTTGAATAGCCCATTCAAAAAAAGCATGTCATACCATACCTGCTGCTCCCGTTACACATGCATCGATGGGTCATTTGGCTGGCCATGTCGATAACGATAACGATAGGTGCATACGCAAAACTTTCACCATCCAAAGGTTTGATACCTTCACTCATACCTGCAGAGCAGAATGGTGCCGCAGAGGTCTCAACGGACGGACAAGAGAGCAGAGTGCAGCAAACTTACCAAAGCTGCAAAGAAAGAACTTACCGAGAAGCCGGAAAAGCGGGATATCT